AGTTGTTGTGCAGGAAGTCTATGTTCATGTGATTGTACTTGTACTCAGTAAATGCGGTACTACTGACTGAGCCTGTATGCCATTCACGACCGCTCTAGCAAAACATTCATTAACAACCACACAAGCCGACCTGTTTGGGAGCTATTACGCGTTGTATTATCAGGGCATAGGCAACAATTGCCGCATGCAGTATGCAATACTATGGACCAATGCCGTAGTACCGCAGGCAACAATTGCCGCATGCAGTATGCAATACTATGGACCAATGCCGTAGTATCGCAGGCAACAATTGCCGCATGCAGTATGCAATACTATGGACCAATGCCGTAGTATCGCAAGCACCAATGTGCGTTAGACTGGCCAATGCCAGGGCTAATGGGGGCAACAATTGCCCGGCGTGTCAATACACGCATACGGTAGGGATGCACTTGTGAGCACATGTAGGCGCACTTGGCTCAATGCCGGCCTGACCCACGATCCCTACCGTTCTCCCTTCCGGGATGGCTTAGAATATAATGATGGTTAGAGATGATGGGGTGGGTGGTGGTGCTCAAAAACTGGCCAAGGTTGTCAAGCGATCTGACTGTTGGCGCAGCAAGGATGAAGAAGAAACAGCATGGAGAGCCGGAGTAATGCGCATGCTCCGCGTGGTCCCGTGCCGGGGCGCGGGAGTTCGGAGTGCGTGTTCTGCACGGGCACGTGATGCGCTATGGCAAGTACGTGCAAATTATGTTAGGAATGTAATTGTTGGTGGGTTGCTAACTTCACTTACCGTGCCATGCACGGAAACTTATATTTAACAACCACACAAGCCGACCTGTTTGGGAGCTATTACGCGTTGTATTATCAGGGCATAGGCAACAATTGCCGCATGCAGTATGCAATACTATGGACCAATGCCGTAGTACCGCAGGCAACAATTGCCGCATGCAGTATGCAATACTATGGACCAATGCCGTAGTATCGCAGGCAACAATTGCCGCATGCAGTATGCAATACTATGGACCAATGCCGTAGTATCGCAAGCACCAATGTGCGTTAGACTGGCCAATGCCAGGGCTAATGGGGGCAACAATTGCCCGGCGTGTCAATACACGCATACGGTAGGGATGCACTTGTGAGCACATGTAGGCGCACTTGGCTCAATGCCGGCCTGACCCACGATCCCTACCGTTCTCCCAAAAATACAACATGACCCAAACAGGAATTATCGGCATTACTATAGTTATAGTAGCGTTACTATAGTTATAGTATAGTAGGTATATCATGTGTACACTACCGCTGTTGCTAGGGCCGTCCAATGCGGCTACCCATTAGCCTAACGGGCAGAGACTAGAACGATGCCGCTGGCAATGCTCTGTCTGCGACAGGGGTGCGGACATAGCGGAGGTAGGCCGAGCTTTGCCACCTGCCGGCGGTCTTCAGCACCTGGGTGTAGAGTTTCAGAGACGAGCCAGACGAGCCGGACGAGAATTTCCAATACAGAAAGTTAGTCAGGCTGGGCTCCGTCACCGGGTACGGCGCGACCTGCCGTAGGGCAGCAAAGCGTTCGTAGGAACGCTGCACTGAAGCGTACGTCGCGCTGGGGCTGTCTGCCAGGCCGTGACGGATGAGCTCCATGGCTGCGTCATCAACTGATGGAGGGTGGACTGCGCTGGAGGTGTAGGCGCTGCGTCGGCAGTTGGGTTGAGGGTCCGGAAGCGCCGTACCTGCAGACGGGAGAGAGAATCAGCAAGATCATTGCAGTGTCCGGCGATGTGGCGAAGCAGGAGGACAATGTTGTGCTGGGCGGCTTTCAATAAGCCGGCCCTGACCAAGTCCATGACCGCTCTATTTGGGGACGTGCCAGAGCGCCAGATGTAGCAGATTGCTTCGTTGTCAGTGTAGAGTAGCACTCGTCTGTCCTCCAACGTGTGTGCCCAGGTACAGAGGGCCAACATCACGGCGTACAATTCTTTCCATTCAATAGTGTGCTCAGCTTGGTCAGGAGACCATGCGCCATAGGACCACTTGCTGCCGAAAACCAGACCGAAACCGTGTCGACCTGAAGCGTCGGTGTACAGCCCGATGTCTTCGGCTGTGCTCCAGGACGGCTCGATGAGGGGCTTCCGACCATTCCATTGGCTGATGCAGGCGTCCCACCACAGGATGTCAAGCTTCGCCTCCGAGGGTACGGCTACCGGTGCATCTAGGCTGGGGAGCGTTGCTGCGCTGTCGAACAGGCGTCTGCAGAACGTGCGACCCGCTGGAATGACTTTGGCTGCGAAAGACAGGCTACCGGCCAGGGACAGCAGTTCCCTCTTGGTGCACATCTGCTTCGACAGCCACGCGGCAAGTGCTAGCCGTAGTTCCGCCAGTTTCGCAGCCGGGAGGCGCAGCTCCCAGGCGGCTGTGTCGAGCTCGATACCCAGGAACGTTATTGAAGTTGACGGCGGGCACACTTTGTCCTCTCCGTCGGCCAATGGGATGTTCAGCATGTCAAATACAGCCAGCAGTGTCTTGAATTTGAGCATAGCTGCGGAGTTGGGCGGCTGGACGTGAAAGAAATCGTCTAGGTAATGCAGCAAATCAACAATATCGTAATTATTAACTGCAATCCATGCCACAGCGTCGGCAAGTCTGTTGAACAGAAACGGGGAGGATCTGAGGCCAAATGGTAGTACCTTATCGACATAGTACGAACCTTCCCAAAAAATGCCAAGTAGGGGCCAGTCGTCAGGGGAAACAGGGCAGAGCCGGAAGGCGTGCTTCATGTCAACCTTAGAGAGGAGAGCTCCGGGGCCGTGCTGGAAGATGCAGCGTATTGCGTCATCTACCGTAACGTAATGCAGGGAGAATTCGTCAGGGTAAATGCCATCGTTAATGCTAGAGCCGCTAGGGGCAGATAAATGCATGATGAGGCGTACGCCGCCAGACTTCTTGGGCACGATGCCAACGCCAGAACATCGGATATTAGGGAATGGGGGTTGGGAATAAGGCCCGGCCATGTGGCCACGCGTGCATTCAGACTGAAGGTAAGCAGAGACGGCGGCAGGGTTGAGCAATGCGGAAGGGAGATTAGGGGCGATGAGGCGGGATCTATTACCGTGATAGCCAATGCGGGCCCCGACGCGCATGTCGTGACAGAGAGAATGCACAAAATCGTTATCGGGGTGCTGGGATAGCTCTTCGAACAGCAGGGGAATATTTACAGGGGACCAAGGCGCGTGTGAGCTAATTGGAGCTGCGGGGTTGGCCAGCAGAGCATGTGGATTGGCCATGACCGAGGCGGCCGCAAGAGAGGCAGCTGTGGGCGAAGCGGCAGTTGGAGCGGACGCAGTTTCCTTGGTTGAAGAGGCGGCATACTTCTTTGTCGACCGTGTCGTTGCCGCTGCTGGGCCGAAGGGAACGAGCGTCGTTGCTGCTGTTGGGCCGAAAGGAACGAGCGTCGTTGCTGCCGGTGGGCCGAAAGGGACGAAATGCCCGCGCGTCAAATATAATTGTGTATAGGTCCTGGACTATTGCGTCCCACCGCATGGTTGGGTCCGCGGCCAGGAGTGAGCGGAATGATCGGTCATACTCCTGCACGGCCTCGAATCGAAATTTCCGGGCTACTTTCAGGATAATCTGCTGGTACGCAAACAGCTCTGGGGCCCTGGGGGGGGGGTGTGCTGTGGCGTAAATCGCGCAGTATGTTGTCCAGGCGTCGAGCCAGGTGTCGATGTCCTCGACCTTCCTGGAGGGCCTGTTGGCCGGTGCTAGGACCACTGTGCCGTGCGAGCTGTCGTGGTCGATCTGGAGAATGCTGCGGCTAGTGTCCCCTTGGGACGGGTTAGGCAACAATGAGCCCAATTCAACAAATTGGCCAGTTACTACTTTATCGTGAATGGCTTTCGGCACGGTTGCATAAAACGTTCTCTTACCTGCGGGGTTCATTGGCGGTGAGACGGCAGCCGCCAAATGCGGAGCAGGCAGAGCGTCCTGCGGAGTTGCTGGTGCTTGCCGTGGGAGTGCCGCTGCGTGAGCTGGCGGTGGGGGTGCCGCTGTGCGAGCTGCCGGCGGGGCTGGAGCTGCGGCCTGATTTCCAAGGGCAGCACGGACTTCCTCCCGGATAATGTCCCTCAGGGACGGAGCAGCAGTTGCCTGGGGTAGGTTCTGCTCGGCTGCCTGAGTGGCCAAGTCCTCGCGCGCTGCAGTGAACTCCAATGACTCGAGCAGGCGAGTCAGCAGCCTGGGTTTGGTCCCCGTCGTGTCTAAATTGCGGGCCGCCAGTTCTTGTCGCAGCTCTACAGAGCGCATTTTCTTGGCGTCGTTCATTGACAGAGATTCAGACATGGTTGCTCGGAAATGGAGAGTGCTCAATGCTCAAAAATGCTCAAGCTCAAACAAAAACTGCTCAAAAACTGGCCAAGGTTGTCAAGCGATCTGACTGTTGGCGCAGCAAGGATGAAGAAGAAACAGCATGGAGAGCCGGAGTAATGCGCATGCTCCGCGTGGTCCCGTGCCGGGGCGCGGGAGTTCGGAGTGCGTGTTCTGCACGGGCACGTGATGCGCTATGGCAAGTACGTGCAAATTATGTTAGGAATGTAATTGTTGGTGGGTTGCTAACTTCACTTACCGTGCCATGCACGGAAACTTATATTATATGTACAATCATGTACATAAGGGCCTATCCACACTATGTAATAAAAACGGCATGCCGTTTCAGAGTACGTGACGTACACGCGATGCTCTGTCCACACTGCACTCTGTCACCAGTGTAACTACGTCGTGTACCTGTTCATATTTTCTCTATTGCACAATGTTTGTAGCGCGTAGACCAGGAAAGGACTCCCTGGCTTGGTCTAGACCTACCCAGCTAGCTACAAAACAAGTGGCGGCCCAGCGATGCAAGCACTGACGCCGAGCTCAAGCCACCCTGAACTCTGTTCCAGGTGCGGAAATTTGGCAACCGTGTGCTCTCGCGGCAGCGCAGCGCCAAGGTCGAGGCCGGCTGTAGCATCGCTTGACGAACCAGTGTTGGTGGCCGCCGTGTATTTCCAGTAAAACTCCCTGGCTTTGGCCTTCATGTTGTCAATTTTGGTCACAAGAGGGTTCTGCTTCCTCTCCAAACAATTCTTTCAAATCAGTGCTAGATAAAATTTCAGTGAATTCTCCGAGTCTCGCAACTACACCTTCCTCTTCATCAGACCCCCGGGATTTCTCTGCATGTCCAGCCATGACTGTATCAATGTCGCCTCCGAGTGGTCGCTGAAACGGACGTGTGGCAACTCCAAAGTGAAAACAAGCGGCAGCTGGAAACAGCAAGAAAAAACTGCGATCCACAAACTCCATCGAGGCTCACACAACAAACACTGCGAAAACGGCACGTAGATGAGAAACGTGCTTTGTACAGGGGTCCGTGACTCACGTTCCGCGTGAATCCCACGTTCCCCGTTTTCGGCCATTTTTCGTCACTCACCTTGGCAACAAGCATGTTTACGGCGTGTTTACGTGGTTTTCTACCTAGTCTGGACAGGCCCTAAGCATACCATAGCCTAGGGCCGCATGGACGTGTACAGTAGATAAACACAGAAAATGTGCGATAAGACTTTCGAATAGAGGGGGGAGGTAGGGGGGTAAAGTCTATTCGAAATGCGTTACGTTTGCAAAATAAATGCGAACTTATGAGATGCTCCCTAAGAAATAGAAATAGTGGCAAGCAGAGCACATTACCACTGGGTGGCGCTGATCCCGTAGCCAGACACCTTTGCTGGCTGTAACCATATCATAGGATGGGAGGGGAGGGGAGGGGAGGCAGAGGGAGAGACCAAAAGAAGCTGCTATTACCGTAGTCCGCGAGCCATGTGCTCTAGTATACCTGTAGTGTAATTGTACAGCGGTCTGGGCAATGCTTGAGCGACTTGCAGGATACGGAAACACCGTAGCATTGACAGGGAGAAGAAACGAGTTACCTCGTGCTTCGGAATCCAGGGTGTTTTTTGAAAGCGAGTTTAATTTTATCTCAGTCTTCATCCAGAAAGGGTTACTAGGACGCATGCCTACTCTTTTAGGCGATTCACACGACAGGCACTTGCATGTTTGCCTTGCGAGTAATTCACGAGAAAAGTGACTGTGTGGATTCACACGGCTGCACTCGACGACAGGCACGTTTGCATTTTCGGATGACTTTCCCTCCAGTTGCCATGGGCATGTCAAACTCCAGTAAACAGTCGGATGTAGTGCCGTCCCTTTTGCTATAAGCAGTCTGCAGGCCAGTATACAGTCTGATGTAGTGCCTATTCAGCCTCTATAGAAAGTCTGAGTTCCAGCATGCAGTCTACGGTCTACAAACACCCACACTGAATGAAAAGAGTATTCATGTACTCATGCAAATAATGTCTCTTGTTGCATTCATATCAAGAAAAGACCTCGGTGCTTGCCAGGAACAGATTCCATTGGTCAGCAATTCAGACTGTAATGAGTAGTGAAAAACATGAAAATAGAAAAAAAGCAGATGCTCATAATAACCGGAGTGGTTGGAACTTACCGAATTTTCCGGAGTATAAGCCGCCCTGGAGTATAAGCCGCACCCCCATTATTTTGCCACGAAAGGCAGACATCTATCCTATTTATCACCGTTAATTTGATCATCGGAGTATAAGCCCCCCCCCCCCGCCTTTTTGGGTGAATTTCGAGTGTTCAAAGTGCGGCTTATACTCCGGAAAATACGGTGCATACAATAAAAATAGATTCCATATGCGGAATGGAGATATGCAGGACAGACGTGCAAGAGCAAGGCTAAGCATGTTGTTAACTCAGCTGGCAAAATAAACAGTAATACTGAAGAACACTGCAATGAAATGATCGCAATAACAAATGAAAGAGAGCAGTTGGGTCTCCCATACAATAAAGCAAGCAACACACAACATCGAGCAACGCCTGAACATAAAGAAGCAGATTTCAACAGCAAAAGCTAGTTTGGAAACTTAGATAAAAGAGAGACCAGAGTAGCTGGACATGAAGTCACTTCCTGTAGGTGTGTTTGGGGCGGCTACCTCTGTAAGGTTCGTGGAAGTTCATCCAGTCTTCTGGCATTGGTTCAAGGAATGTGTTATACGGTTCTGGATCTTGTTCCTAGCTGACAGTCTCCTCCACTGGTTCCATAGGCAATTGTAAGACTTCCCTGCTCTGGACATGAGCACCTGCGAAGCGCCCTTGCTACCTTGCTACCTAGTTCGGTCATGTACGAGTTCAAATTTCTTGTCACGTTGGCCACTTTCTCGTTCCGCGACATCTTCTTGTCCGTTGACTTGAGCATCTCTCCTCGCTAACCCAGGAACTTCTTTTCTGTATGATCAGAGAACACACTCTTTCCCATCTTTAAAATTTAGTGCAAGGCAAACACTGCAAGACAAGGCACGGCAACACTCCAAAACACGGAAACAGTATAGCAAGGTGGAAGGAGAAAGAGCAAAGAACCACTTGTTTTGATCTCTGCTCCGCTTGAATTTTCGTGCGTTTTAGTGTCTCGTGCACGTGTGCACGCCACGATTATCGTGCCTGCAACTCCCCAGCTTGCTTGCACTTTTCAGCCACTTTTTCCACTTCTATCATTCACAGGTGAAATGCCATAGCAACGGTCCAGTGCACATGGATTTGCCTGTCTTGTGAATCGTCTATATTAAAGTCTGCTTGTGTGTGGGCGTGTATGTGTGTGTGTGCATGTCGTGCAATGTGCCATGTATCAGGATGCGGACGGTATTCTCCACAAGCTTGAAGCCAGTGCTACTTCTGTGAAGCAGCAAGCGCAGGCCATCCTTGCCAAATGTTCCCCAGAGCTTGCAACCGTCATTGAGGTAAGTTCAGCATGCAGGTACGATACTCCACGAAAACCTCTCCGTTATTGGAGCTAGAAACTGTAGCCATGGTGCTGGGCATGTGTACTCTTTATGCTATCTGTATATGAAGGTGTTACTGATGAGCGCATCTTGCTATCCAGCTATCCGCCAGCTGCACAGCATGTCGCTATATCATGCATAGTACAGCAGCCGGTGTTGTTTGTTATCTGTAGTAATATATGCAGCAGCACCTCACTGACTATGGCGTGTGCATTGATACTGGGCTGTGTGCCGTACTGCAGACTTTCACCGAGAAGGTGTTGAAGACGTATGCTGATCTGGAGGATGATGCGCACGCCGAGAAAGCACGCCTGGAGCAGATCTGCGACCTGCTGGAGGAGCTTAGCGTCCAGGAACGATGGCTGGATGTGGCCGAGCAGTGCTATCCTGTGCAGAGCAACGGGAAAGTGAAGGACACGGAGGTTCGTGACAGGCAGGCGTAGGCTAGCCGTGTGCACATTCGGCATGTGTAGCGTAGGTCGTTGCACTCAAACTTCCCGTAGCTGGCCTAGTCGGGACTGGAGCACATCCGTATAAACTCGTTTACTCGCCCTTACTCAAACCACAATACAATGTACAGTGAAGCTGTATAAGGCGACCACTCAAGGGACCTTCAAACCGTGGTCTCTGTTACCAGGTGGTCTCCGTATCCAGGGTCATTTGACTGGAAATAACATCCCTTTGTCCTGGTTTCAGTGGTCTTCTAGGACAGGTGGTCACCTTATCCGAGTGGTCGCCTTGACAGGTTTCACTGTACATTGACACATATGACATGGCATCATGTACTGTAAGTTCACTGCTTTCACGATGGTGGGAGCTGGGTGCACAGAACAATGTGCATTTTAGTGATCATGCATACCACAGTCATACATGACCTTGAGCTTTAGGGTCGCCGTGGCCGATATGAGTGGCTCGTCTGTAACACTGTTATCAAGCTGTTCTTTCATTTTATTCTTTGCGTGCATCCTTCAGTTTCTTTAAAAAAATTCTTCTGTGTTTGTGTGCTCAGACTTTAGGCCGTGAGATTGACGAGCACTGCCCCGAGTTTGACCGCATGGACGGTCTACTGCCCGAAGTGAAGGCCGGAGTGGACGACAAGAGTATGACTGCGCTGGAAGAGCAATTTGCAGCCGACATGGAGCGCTTTACAAACCTGAGAGTTGCTGCAGGTGGGTTTGTGTTGCTGTTTTTTCTATCTTTCCCTGGGAGGCGAGCTGCTCTCCTGAAAGCTGAATGCCCTGTGTGGTTGTATTCAACCCGACACCAGGTTCTCCTGCTCTTGCGTGAAAGGATCATTCTTTCTTGTTACTGAAACACACACTTGTTTTCAGCAGTGTGTAATTTGCTGTAGCATGGATCGCTTTTACATACCTGTGTAGAATTGAGCACAACTCTAGTGGAACTGGAATTGCTGGAGAATTGGATGAAACTAAATATTAGGTGGCAGGGTTTTTGCACTGAACATTGCACACACAAGAAATAGAAGTGCGTTCACAGTAATGATCAATCACCGCGTTTGGCGTGTACTCGTCCAGGTGGCCAGAAAAATGACTCTCCTGCCGTCCTGGATCGAATAAACTGACAGCGAAGGATTTCTCTTTTATTCTCGCTTTTTCATCGCTGTCCGATATGTAGAACGTGTTTCTTTGCATTTACCGTAAAGTACCGCGAGAGCGCCCCACCATCTCGTCCTTTTGTGGCCACATTGTTGAGGTGGTGTCCGATCTGTAGGTCATACGGCACGGACCTTGTACATACATTGCACGTTGTGCAGTCAATTCGTATTCAATTTATCTTCAAGCGGACACGAGCTCCACACGAAAACCTTCTAAGTGTGACCTTAGTACACTAAGGTTCTCACACCGTACACACTTCATTGCACTCTGCCATATGATTTTCAATTCCCTAGCTGTAAAATCAAGGTGGGGCACTCTCGCGAGACGGGGTGCTCTCGCGGTACTTACGGTACTTCTTGCTGGACCTTTGTGATGGCTGATAAAGCAGTCAATGATCCGAGGCCTTCATCTCTTGCGGCGGTACGTTGCAATGAAGGGAGCGTTGATACTAGCCTTGCGAGCGAAAGTCAAGTTGAAGTTAGGATCCCAGTTCTCGGTTTTTGATGCCTTTGATTCGTTGAAAAATGGCCGGTCAACCAGTTGAAGACTTGCCTTTGAGCTAGAGGAGCCGGAGTGTCCGGGAAATGGAGTGATTTGCTCCAACGGTAAGTACCACTTCGGGATGCAATCTTCAACATTTCGCACAAGAAAAAGTACATTTATCGGTATAATTTATGTTTTTTACTTTCTAACTTTCTCCATCTGTTCAAGGCCAGGTTCTACCACATCGATCCAATACTGTGCACTCCAGATATATATATATATATATATTATATACACACAACAACAAGGTTGTCAGTTTCATAATACCAAAAGCTTTTCACCCATTTTCATCAGTAGTTACATGGGAATGAGCAAGAACGAAAACGGAGCCAGAATTTATACTAGGGGTAGAGAATCAGCAAGAATATTCTTACGCCTCAAGTTCACACTACACTACCATAAGAATGTATGGAGCAGTGGAAAAATGCGGGAAAGGGCAAAATTGCATTGCCTTCCGCAAAAAGATTAAAGCTGCAATTTTGAACTGCTATCCTACAGTATCCCCCATTGTAATTTATACAACCAGGCCCGCATTCAGGTCTATCGCGAAGGATGTTTCACCAACTCTTGAAAATAGTAATTTTATTTATAAGTATGCGTGTCGCTGTGAGCGGACGTACGTTGGTGAGACATGTCAGCGATTCTCGGAAAGGATCAAGCAGCATATCCCAGACAAGCTGTACAAGAAGCCGCCTGACAAACGTGTGGCATTAAGTGATAGCGCCATCACAAAGCATTTGCAGGCGCAGCCTGAGTGCATCCCGCAGGAACGCAACAGCAGCTTCAGTGTCATCACACCAGCCCGGAACAGCGCGCACCGATTCACACTGGAGGCGCTGTACATTCGCATTTTGAGGCCAGAACTGTGTCGACAAAAGAAGCACATCAAGGTGCTGCGGCTGTTCAAGCTGCAACCGGACTGACAACTTTATCACGTGTTTGTTCTGGTACTGCATTCCCTTCGTGTGTTGTTTCCCGCATTTTTCCACTGCTCCATACATTCTTATGGTAGTGTAGTGTGAACTTGAGGCGCGTAAGAATATTCTTGCTGATTCTCTACCCCTAGTATAAATTCTGGCTCCGTTTTTGTTCTTGCTCATTCCCATGTAACTACTGATGAAAATGGGTGAAAAGCTTTTGGTATTATGAAACTGACAACCTTGTTGTTGTGTGTATATAAATTTTGTTCGCCTACCTCTCTATTTAAATATATATATGGCGGCAGGCGTCGGCAAGGAAAGTGGAAAACCGCTGCCATTCAGAGCATTGTTGACACTGAGCTCGTGGATTGTTCATGCATGACGAAATTTGTATTTCCGAAGATCGGTTAGCCATGCAATGCTAGCAACAGTTGGCAATTTAGTGGTCAAACGAATGTGCTAAACAGCGAATCGAACCTTCTCTGAATGTTCCTAACGAATACCGAACGAATGTCGCCCGTTCCATGATTAAGAAATCAGTAAGAAATTATAGCTACCAACCAGTATGTAACACTAAAACTTTTGTAAAAGGCACCCAAATCATAAGTGAAGTTGCACACTGCAAGTCTGCAACAGAGACTGTAGATGCCATGACTCATTTATGAAGTGGACAGTGATGGTGATGTACCCCTCCATTCGTCTGCTTGTCCACAGGTCTGTAGTCAGCGCCATGGAGCTGGCCTTTTCAAGGTTCTCCACCACTGCACCAGCAACTTCAGGCCCGCGACGTGCTTCCGCTGAATTAGCTTTGTCACTTGAGTCGCAGGTAGCCAGGCTCGGGGTAGTTCATGAGAGAAAGGAACCCCCGCACCAGTGACTACACTCACAGGCCAAAGATCTCTGCACACAAATTCCACCAATCGGTCGTCGCATCCAGAGCCTCAGAGGATCTAGCCGCTGGCACTTTCTTTGCCTTGAAGAAGGCAGTTATCCCTCCGTCCTTTTTCGGTTTCGCCCCTGCGCCAACCAAGTCGACATGGTGAACGTCCTTCAGATGGTTACGTAAATTCGTTGTTCCGCCATGATCTGCCAAGTCTTTCGGCGGCTTGAACCGAGTACACGTAGCAATATTGTCGTGAGAATAAAGATAATATTGTCAGCCGTTTTCTCTATTCCGAAATCCCATACGGCAGAGCGCCTACTCTTCTCGGCCATGACGAACGTTGGGTGGATTTGATGAAGAAAGACTCAACGACTGCTCTCAGCAATAGTTATTATTTCAGACAGACCGTCGAGTGTTGTCACGACTAAAATCGCCTGTGGCACTGCACTTCCAGTTTCACAGCCGGACGCGGTGCACGCATGCAACGTTCAACCTAGACTAGAGTTCACTGCGCAGACTAGACCTACCGTAGTCTACGATCTTGAGGAAGTAATCAGTTGAGCACCCGTACCAGTGCAGTGCACGCAGTCCACCCAGTCCACAGCACAGTTCACATGGTTCGCGCGCGCACACCGACTCGAGTCTGGGCCAGTTCGTGATCGGACCACAAACATCCGGCCTTGTACATGTACAACTAACGTTACTTACTTTCACACCTCGCGCCAGCTACTAGTTACATGACATGGCATGTATACATATGTACATGTACAGTCATGAAGACAGCGCGGCACGGCTTCAAAAGAAGTAGACGTGTGTACGTGCTTGCATGCATGAAAATCGCTGCTACGAGTGCAGAGTTCACAGCTTTGTGAGTTACGATATTCGTTTGGGCGGTCAACTTGACATTCGAATATCGACTCGAGAACGAACGTTCGAAGCTTCTCAGCATTCGTTTGACCACTAGTTGGCATGGAAAACTTAATTTGCACCAGCAAGTAAAGGATCCTAAAATACTGTGAGCAAGGAACAAACCGTTCATATCTGATTGATTATGGGGGATGTTTTTCCCAATGAGACCAATTTTATGACGCTCCATGTTACTCCATATTACTTAAGTATTAACCTTGATCATTGGCTTTGTAGAGCACCATTCTCTAGGAGATATCTACAACTGCTCTGTTTCAATGTCCAGCATAAGCGAACGTGTGGATCAAGCATAATTGCTTGGTTGACCCTGCCGCGGGAATGCGTATAATAATAATAATAATAATAATAATAATAATAATAATAATTTTAGAATTGCGATCAACAGAACGAGCTGAACCGACATTTCACAAAGGCTTTTATTGTTTTCAAAAAACGAGTGGATACGAAGGCAGTGAAGAACATGGAAGAAAGAAAAAATGTGATATGGAAAAAATGATGAACAAAAAAATTGTACTTCGAACTAGTTTTCGCACAACACTCCTCAGGAAGCTACGTTGTACTAATGAAAAACAATCCAGAAAGATACTAATAAAGAGAAATGGAGTGAGAAGAAACAACACCTATGAAAATGATAATCCTAGCACTAAGGTAATAACAGGAAAAACTGCGAAAGCACTTAACGAACTTGTAAGGACTACTAGTATACTGTGACACAAGATATGACACCATGGCCAACCAGAGCCAAACCGACAGAACAAGCTGCCACTAAAACAATTTCAAACGAATAATGCTGTCCTTCTGGACACACAGATTAGGCTTATGAATACGTTGACAAACAGCTTCTAACACACTCAACTGCAACTTATAACCATGACGAGCACGGCACAAAACAGAAAAAGAAGAATCAGAATACACCTTGCAACAATCAGGACGAGATGCAAGATGCTTATACACTGATGACTTCCTACTAGAAAACACACGCTCGCACCCACTCTTACTCACACAATCATTCTCGCTCTCACACTCACCGGAATCACTGGACTCACTGGCCGAATCCTCCTCAACGACGTCCTGCCTCGGAGCAATCAGGTCCCGTCTCCTCCCATCCCTCGTCTCACGTTCCTGTTGTGTATTACGTTGGCTCGGTACTTCCGTACTGAAATAGGTCATGGTGTAATTGGCAGTTGTTCTTCTGGGTCTCGTTGATGTTGAGGTAGGTATTTTTGTCGTCTCTGCCGGTGATGCAGCAAGCGATGCTGATGCAAACGTGTCTGCATGCAACACACGTGGCGTCGCCGAAGCCACATCCACCTCCGCTGGTGGAGGGAGTGACTTGGTCATGGCCACGGGAGCCAATGGTGGACTTGCCGAGTGGGACGCTAGGTCCTGTGTTGGCGGAGGTAGTGGTTGTTTACGGGTAAGTACAATTTTTTTGTTCATCATTTTTTCCATATCACATTTTTTCTTTCTTCCATGTTCTTCACTGCCTTCGTATCCACTCGTTTTTTGAAAACAATAAAAGCCTTTGTGAAATGTCGGTTCAGCTCGTTCTGTTGATCGCAATTCTAAAACTATTGTCGCCTCGACGCCTATTTATAAATAATAATAATAATAATAATAATAATGGGATAAAGAGTTGTTGCAACAATCTTCAAAGAGTTGTTGCAACAATCTTCGAAAAGATGTTGAACTCCTTGATTCGCTCCATCAGATGCTCAACATGAATTCATAACGTGGCAATTTGTTGCTTTTCTGAACGTCTTCTAGGGCCATCTGTTGTCGGATCGCTTGAACGGGGGAATGTTCAACTTTACGCCATAAGGCACCAAGAGATCCTGGATGTCAAATCCTTTGTCTGCCATAATCATTGTCCCATAGCTGGCTACTGGCAGAAGATCTAAGAAGTGGCTTGTTAGCTTGAGGTCACTGATGGATCCCGTAAATAACTTGGAGATGAACATCTAGTTGACCATTGTTGTGAGAATACGGCTCGCAGTCCCAGTATCTATAAAATACAGATCAGCCAGCATTCGGATGTCTGCGGCGGCGAAGATGAACCATGGCAGGGAAAAACTTCTCTCTCCAAGCCAACTTGATCTTCCGTCCATCATCGGTTTTTCTTTTCCAGGAATCGGCATCCACCTGCGAAGGGAGATTGCGTTCTCATCGTTATCATCCAGGTGAAGAAGTTGAACGCATGCATCAAACGCAGCAAGCGAAGGAAAACCAGTGTAGTACTGAATGTCAGAGTCAGAGTCTTCAAACCGAGCTAGAGAAAATAACTTAAGGCTGAACTCTACTTGGATAGCGACCAGTTCTTCTTCAAGTTCTTCTTTCTGCTTGGGGTTTCCCTTTTTTGTGGCTTTCAGCTTTGCTGCGTCTGATTTGGGCTCCTTTGCTACCTCAGGAGGAGGAGAAGCGCCACGCTCGCGAGACCTTCTCTTTGCGGGTTTCTTCTATGGAAATACACTTGGAACAGAGGGTTGCTTTCAGCCTTGCGCCCGGCTTCTTTGTCCCTTGGACATAGTCTTCATCTGTCTTCAATGGTTAGAGCACACCACTGTACTATAGGGCATGATGGTAAACACACCGTCCCTCTCATCTCAACAGGTGGTGTCAATCCAAGACTTCCTTATCCAGCTCGTCCCTGCTCACGTTCCTAGCATCTCCGGTTTTCGATTCCTTGCTACGAGGAACGAAGTATTTTTGTCCGAATGTCTATCGCTGTTGTACTGCGGAACGCAGCAGTGATCGCCTTTAAGCTGGAGTGATGTCTTATAAAACGAAACTAAACACTTTACAAGAACTAAGCAGAGAAAATCCAGCGACTGTCCTTTATCTTCTAAAATGTTCATCGCAATTGCGATCGCTTGAAGGAACATAGTTTCTGAAAGACTCGAGCAAAAATAGAAAAGAAAGTCATTATTTTCTCGACGAGTAGGTGAGTACACGCCAAACACGGTGATTGTTGCGGCTCAGGAGCAAGAGCTCTCGCTTGAAGAATGCACTGCATGTATCGCGTGCACAGGTCACACATTCAGTATGTGTGTCATACCCTACCAAGTCACTGCATGTCTTATTTTGGCAAAATACCTATTTTCTTGGCTCTGGATATGTTTTCTCTTTACTCCATGTGCCATTGTTTATGCAGGCAAGCTGAGTCCGCATCTCGCAGCCTATCTGGCTTCATGCAGCCAGACCGTTCAGAAAATGGAGGACATTGAGGACTCCATGCTGAAGGAGCCCGAGGATATTAGTGCCATTCAGCCTGCACATGTATTAGTGCCACAGCTCAAGGTGGGTTAGGCTTGGGCTTCGCTGCATAGTAAGACACTGCCTGGTGTACACTGCCTGGTATACACTGCCTGGTATACACTGCCTGGTATGCACTGCCTGGTATACACTGCCTGGTATGCACTGCCCGGCATACACTGCCTGGTATGCACTGTCTGGTATGCACTGTCTGGTATACACTGCCCGGCATACACTGCCTGGCATACACTGATGTTCGTTTGCCCCTAGCATAGGTGATTTTCTTTTTGGCCATTTATTGATACTGGTACATGTGCATTTTTCCTCTTTGCTACCTGCTGTGAGCAGAGCGTTGAGCTGAGTGCAATACCAACACTGAATGGAGAGAGAGATGAGCTGCGTGATGGCCGTGATCAGCTCGACAAAGTCATCGTTGCCATCGAAAGGGTCCAGGCACACGAGGCGTTTGCCGAGGTGGACGACAAGCTGAGCGCGCTGCCTGCATCCGTGGCAGTGCGTGTGAGCGAGCTTGATCCGTTCGTTCCAGTTGAGGAAGAGACAGCGCGCCTGGAGGTGGTTGTGGACGGCGCCGATTCTAAACTCGACGTCCTGGAGAAGCAGGAGGAGGACAAAGCTGACGACATTCAGGTTAGGGCTGATGAAACAATACACTGTCTCTCAGTCTCACTGTCGCTGATACACATCCTGCAGTGCCTGTAACTTGAAAGTCGATGTGGGTGGTGGACTTCTCCTTGGGCAGATACTGCTTGCAGAATGCACCTCTGGACTGGAAGCTGTGCGTTTTGTGCTGGATTTCATGACCAAAAGCATTGCACTGTGTCGTGTGCTTCTAGAAGAGCTGCTCACTCATCAGGCCACCATTACATGTGAATTCACTGCAAATAAGTGTGCTTTGTTCCCTTGCTCCCCTGCGTTACATTCAGAGGTTGATCACTGAGTTGAACGCTGAGCAAATGGCGATTGAGTCCATGTTCAGCTCCTCAGCTGACCTGAAGGACAAGTACAATAGCTCACCACGGTCTGTCTTGCTTCATGAGCGCGCCGAGAAGTTGAAGTTGAACTTCACCCGGGCACTCGAGCGTGCCCAGGACCAGCAGGATGAACTCTCTGGTGTGTCACTGAAGGAGGTGAGGCGCTTTGAACTGTCATGCGTACATGCCTCAGATATTACGCGGTCATGTATGAACTGATCGGCATCGATGTTTGTCTTATTATTATTATTATTAATATGAAATGACCCAAAGGCAATCTGCCTATCGAGGGGTTCATTTGATTGAAAGAACAGTACTATGTACAGGGCTTGATGAGGAGAGAAACGGGGAAAATCAACTGCAAGGTGGCGGAATTCCGTTGATTGCATGGCAGCATGGCTAGCTGTAAATTTCCTCAGGCCATGTACTCTTGGAAGAGTCAATGTCGTCACCAGTGCGCTACCGAGGATCCTTAGTCAATCTAGTATCTGCTTTCCGTACTTTCTTATGAAGTCTTTGACCAGGCACGCAGCTCAACTTTGGCTTGCTTCTATCAACGCCGTGTAAGATGCGTCCTTCTGCCCCTTTGCCTGTGTGTGTGTGTGTGTGTGTGTGTGTGTGTGTCTTGTAGCTGTTGAAGAAGTGTGATGACCTACTGGTGATTGTGGGCAAGCTGCTGGTGTCACTTGGCCAGGAACGTCCTGTTGCCACCGACATCTCAGTATTGAAGGAGCAGCGTAATAACCTACAGGTTAGCCAAGTGTACTCCCGTACATGAGCATTGCCCTGATATAAGTCTATTGGAGATACCTGTGTACTCCCGTACATGAGCATTGCCCTGATATAAGTCTATTGGAGATTGGAGATACTTGGAACTCATCTTGCTTTACAAATACGGTTAGGTTATGCCCTGTCAACTTTAAAATGGATAATGTTTGCGACATAAAAAATATTTTCGATTTTTTCGGGAGGTGATGAATTGTAAACTTCGAACTTTGCAAGCTCGTAAAAAGTGTTTGCGTTTTTTTTAAGAGGCGCCCAATCTCAAACTTTGCACTTTTCAATCTACGGTAGTCTCAATTTCTAAAATGCAAACATTACCCGTTTTACAGTATTACTCTGGCAATGGTCATGCATGTGTCAAAATTTCAATTGTACATGGACTGTTGCCGAAATGTTGGGTTCCTGATAAACGTTCCCATGGGTCCATGGGTCTCAGCCATGCTTGGCATGGTAGTGTTCAGTGCAGTGGTAGGAATGTATCATTCGTAAAAAAATAAAAATAAAAATAAACCATTATTGGCAGTATCGCTGATAGTAGACACCGTCAATCTGGCTTTGCCACCCTATAGGAAGTCCAGCGTATGGCGGACTCGACGCAGAATGAAGGAGCAGAGCTGTCTGCGCTCATCGGTGCCCAGCCCGAGAAAATCCAGACGGCCATGCAGGAGAAGCTGGACGAGCTTGACCTGCAGCTCACCAGGCTGCTGGACGCGCAGATGAAGAGAGAGACAGACCTGGACAGCCAGGAGGAGCAAGCACAGCTGTACAACGACCAGGTTGGTAGACTTGTGCAGTATTACTGTACTGTCAGTAATAGCGTAATGTTGGTGTATTCACGTTGTTGAGAAAAGGCTCTAACCTTAGTCTTCCAGTACAGAATATACATCCATTGCTCCCTTGAAAGAAGGGTCGAGAACTGTCTACCTGTTGTTCGAGCTGGCCCAATCAGCTGGACATTTTCTTTGCAGCCTAGATATCATCAACGGTAATCTGTGCATTGTAAGCCTGTTTTTGTTGGCGTGCATCGGGAGGTGTACCTGCAATTGCTGTGTAGTCTTTCATTGATAGTCTCTTGAGCAGGGCACGTGCGTGTACAGCGCAATGCTGCAATCTGTACTGGATTTGTTTTTTGATGTGCCCAGTTGTCTGAGCACGTGGCCTACCTGGAGCAAACGCAAGGCCGTCTCGAAGGCCTCGTCGTAACCGCCGACGACTCCGTAGAGCAGCTGACGCATGTCCAGCGCGAAACTGAGGTGAGCGAGAATGCTCGGTTTGTACACGTCTATTTAGCTTTGGTTGTGATATCAGAATTAGCTGTTTTTCGTTGAGAGCTTACACTTTGTAGATTACTGCAAGGCACGTTACAATATCGAGTAAGCAAATTTAACGAATATCGAAAATCCGCAGGTTAACAAGAAGATAGGTCACCGATCTGGGAGTTTACAGGTTTATCCCACATTATGAGGCATTATGGCCCTAACAAAATTACCCCAACGAAGAAGTTTCAGAAGTTAATACTTCCTCCGCGTCTTCGAAATTGTCGCAGTTTGACTAGTGACTTGTCACTTGTTACTGACAACTCCATAAGCTAAGCCATTCAAAACTTATTACACAGTATGATAGTCTGAAGACTAGAGTAACGTTCCAGGACAGTTGGACTGAGAGTTTTCATGCAGAGATGAAGTCCTCGTCGTCGCTGATGTCAATGGACGCAAAAATATCGTTCCGAAATATTTCAAGGAAGGTTGAAAGTTGGTCGCGCCTCATCTCAAACGCTTTGACTTTCTCCACAGGACAAGAGCTGCTATGCTTGTCGTCTGCTAGCTCTGGATGATCTGGATGACCAACGAAGCCTGGTAAGAATACACGATCGTTGCGAGGTCGGTTGATTACCGTCGGCGGAATCACCTCGGTCTTGAAAAGAACATTTTTTAGCCGGGGCATGCCCATTTATTTTAGCTGTGTGGTCACAGCTCGTGCAGGTAAGTGTACTATCACGTCCAGCGCGCCCTCTTTTTCAGCATCACTGGTATACCATGGTACGGCACCTGCGTGTGCATCACTAGCACTACGTGTAGAGTCTACACGGCTCTTGCAGGTACAATCATGTACTGAGTGTCTCAGCCAGAGCGACACATTTTATCGCTGTTGCAGGCATTTAGTTTGCTGACCCCTCGATGTTTCTCCAAGCGCTGCTACTTGTTCCACGAAGTCATTCTCACCCCAGCTAAGGTAAAACAGTGATGAGGCTTGAGTGAATGGCCATAAGCACGAGAAATGTGCAGGCTGCAACGCCTGACTGATCTCAGCGAGTCGAAATTTCTATCGCAGCGACATCAGCGAAGAAATTGCGTCTAGTTCAAAAATTCCAGCTTCCAATAACAGAAAATAGAAGTTTGCCGTCACCCTACACTGATGACTATCGCCTATGTCCGATTCCTTGCCTCTGGTACGAGTGCTGGTGAGTAAATACCACGTTTTATATCAAAAGTCAAACTGCGACAATTTCGATGACGCGGAGGAAGTATATTAGACTGACTTGTCATACCTTCATGTCTTACAGGATTGCGCTTGGTGGCTTTTTGTTTTATATGACAGACCAAAAGGGTAGTTGTGAGGTTTTTGCTCAGTGTTCTACTTGTGTCAATCCAGCAGCATGTTCCTCTGTTGCCTGGTTTCTTTGCAGATGTGTGTGATTGTCTTTGGACATGTGTGTGATTGCCTTTGGACGTTTGTGTGACTGGCATTGTGTCTGCACAGTCCATTGCTCAAGAGATGGCCAAGAAGCGCGTTGAGATTGACTGCCTGGACGAGAACCTGCAGACGCTGATGCAAGTGTCCCTGCCTGAAGACTGCGAGGAGACCAAGTCTGGCATGCGGGAACTGCGCCAGCTGTTCGATGCCGTCATGGAGCTGCTGCGTGATCGCATTCACACTGCACGCCAGATAGCCGAGCTTGGCCCTCTCGACCTGTCTGAGCTGAGGGCAGAGATTGCTGAGCTGCACGACTGGCTGCAGGCTGTTGAAAAGTGGCTTCTTGGCCAGGAAAACGAGTCCGAGACATTCACCGATCCCACCAAGGCAGAGCAACAGCGTCAGAAATACGAGGTGAGAGCTTCTGGGGCACAAGTCTTTTCTTGGAGTGAGATCCATTTGAAGATATGAACATTTTTGAGCAAAACCTGGCCTATTTGAACCCCCCTTTGAGTGCAAATCCATCTGGAGGACTGTGATGAAATCATGAAGGAGAGCAAAGTCCCATACACTTTAATCTGCAGCCAAGCCTTGAGCTGAAAGTTGTTGAGCATAATGCACTGTATCGTGATAGCACTGGATGCTTTTGAAAGTGTTTGACCTTTGGAGTAAAATTAAGGTGAAAACTTAAAAGCGACAATGGACGCGTTCGATCGCACGTTCTGGACCCAGGTTTGAAAATTCTTGAATGACCAGAATGAACGGATTGCGGCCTTGTAAACGAACAACTGGAATTTGTCATGAATGCTGCACTCATGGTCCACTCGACGAAACCAGGGAAAGAGATCACGTATACAACTTTTTTGTGCCAATCAGTATTGCTAGCATGTAGCTGACACGTGTGCTGTCAAGAAGGGCGTATGCCAAATGCGTATATTCTGACGGGAGAATTAGAAATTCTGCCTTCCTTCGGAATGGCCGGAATTGGATTCCATGGATTCTGACAAAGAAAGCTGTGTGCTTGAATAGTGTGTGCATCGTAGGTAATTTCAAAATGGACGGCATTGTGTGTAATCAAACGCTCCTGATGTGCAGGTCCATAGCAGTTTGAAGACTGCAGGTCACACTATTCTTTTGAGCACTTTTCCTGATCATAAGCCACTGCTGTTACGGCCTGGCCACTGAGCAAGATGGCCGCCATTTCGTCAGGTGCTTGCTGCAGTGCGGTTGGCATAACAATCGAGTATGACGTACCCACGCGTGTACGCATGCAAGGCAAAAGCAAAGCAAAAATCAGAAAACGGAAATGCCTTTCGAAACCTTTTGTTTGAAAATACTACTTCAAAAAGTATGCAGTTATCTCACTCCTTGCGTCTTCGCTTTCGAGTAGATCGTTCTGGGAGCAGAGAAGCTAAATGCGGTAGCGTAGATGAGAGGTGCTGCCTGACTGTGACTTTCAGGCGCTCCAAGTTGTTGACGATCCTGCCGTGACGCTTTTCCAGAGAGTTGAACTCCGCATGGATGCTTTCACCTCCTTGCTCAGCAAGGGGTCCGAGACCAACGCCGAACGTATCCATTGAAGCTGGTACATGTGCCTCCAGGAGGTGTAGCTTCGGCGTAATGTGGCCAAGCTTTCGTCTCACAATTTCAGCACGAGCAGTGCCCATTAACGTCCTGACGTCGGATTTGAAGGCCGCCAAATCTTCTGGTGTCATCTTCTTGCAAGACGAGTAACGTCGCCTGCATGCAGCGAACTGCTCCATAAGAGCCATGTATCGGCTGCAAACATCAGTGGCATCCGACAGAACACTGGCAGAGGCGGTGCGTCCGTCCTCTTGTATGACTGCCAGCGGTGCTGAAGCCAATTGCTCAATAACGGAGCTCTGCAAAGCGTGGTGAACATGGTTGCCGATGAAGCTTCCTCCATGGTACCGTTGGCGACAGATGTTGTTGCGCTGCAATACCTTGTCTAGGGACTGCTCGCATGGGCCACTGATGGTGCCCGTGATCCGCTGGATCTCCTCGACAAGACTGCTAGTCTCCTCCTCCAGAGATGACCTGGATGCTGCCGGCTGGGCACACTGGACTTGGATCACCCCAGCTGCTGCCTGGATCTGCGCTGGGAGCAGTGTGTTGCTGTGCAATGCCAGCCAATCAAGCTGATTCCTCAACTGCTGGGCAGAGGCGTTAACAGCAATCAGCTCATCCTGCTTCTCCCGCAACTTTTGGTGTTTGGCCACAATGGTCGAGAACTGCTGGCTGTCAGCAGGTGTGGCAGGCCCAGATGCAGCCAGGGACATGTCCAGTGTCTGACAGTCCTTCACCAGCGCCTCGAAAATCCACTTGAAGATGCCCAAGTCAAGGTGGAGGACTGGGATGATTGCATCTTCAATGGGTATGGGCAGAATGACGGGACGGATGCAGTTCTTAAATCTTTTGGCATCGGGCAGACGAGCTCCTACTGCAACAAACGCTGAGTGGCATGTCTCAAGTGAAGCTAGTGACCGACAGTTGGACGTGGCACCGGGCTGTTGGAACTCGGTCTTTGTGGCCTCGCAGTGAAGGCAAGGATACACTGCAGTTGATCCGGAGAGTCCATACTGCTGAGTTTGAAACTCATAGTCGCCAAACAGTAGAACTCTCACGAATCTTCCATGCCACAGAGTGCTGCTGAGGAGAGTGATTTGCGAGGCAAATGGCTGGAGTGCAGTGGCAAGGTTTGCTGGCGAGTCCTTCGCGGCAAAGACGACAAATGGAATGATATTCCGTATGGAATTAGGATGGCGTACATTGCAAACTTGCACAGACATTTTAAATGAATCACCGCCATGGTCGCCTCCCACTTCGACCCATATCTGGTCCTCCGGTATGACACCATCATGCCAGAACAATTGCTCAGTACTGTCCAGCTGGTCCAGATAGCCGTGCACAGTTCCGACGAGATCAAGTAGCGCCACCATTGGCCTCATCTCTATTTCGGCGGTCTTGCCAATCACAAATGGCACATCCTCTGCAACTATGTGGACCTTTAGGTGTTCATTCAGCTGCTGCCGCATAGCACCTTCAGACTCAAGATGCAAGCCGTAATCCTTCAGCCAGACCTTGAGCTTCCTGAGCTGAAACCAGGGCATGTGAAGATCAGTCTTCATGGCTAGTGTGCTGCCTTTTTCTATTGATCTTGGCAACACACCTGCTGCAATCAGCAATGCCCTCCGCTCCTCTTCTGGCATGCGACGAATAGTGGCAGCTTGCTGCGCTTGAATACTGCTAGCACTGCTGCCGCAAACCAGCTGCTCGGTTTGGCGTAACTCTAGGGATCTGCGACGCTGTGTCCGCTCTCATGCTTCGTCAGATGAAACTGTTCCAACTGTGGTTTTCTTCCAAATCTGGGAGGGACCCTGGCTTCTGAGATGAAGTAGTCCATTGTCTTACTTCGATCGCACCAGGTGGCTTGTCAACTTTTCGGCAACATTGCCCTGCAACTTCTTTGGTGATGCATGAAGAATGTCACCAACGGGAGTTGTAGGTGTGATGGTGTGCTTGCCGGTATTGGTGCATGTCTGGGCATGGTGCTGAAGACTGGCTAGTGGTATATGCTCACTACAACCATTGAATGAGTCAAGATAATTGTCACAACGGACAAGCACTTCGGCTAAACAGTTCTTCAGCGTCGGGCTAGGAGTCAGCAACTGTGATGCTTGGAGTGGACTGCGGCATACTGGACACGAAGCATGCATGACCAGCCAATGCCATGTGCAATCTACACAAAAATTCTTTCCGCAACAGCTTGCCTGCACAGATTTGTCCAGAATGTGTTTGCAGATGCTACAGATCAGCTCAGAGAAATTCATGATAAGTCTATATGGGCTTAGTTCTCTCTCTGTTTTGTAACTTGGTGTAGCTCTGCTTATTAACTCCGTCTTGGCGATATCTTGCCCTTGTAGCGACTCGTTTGTTGCGGAAATACTTGCAGGGCAGAGCTGCTTCTCAGCAGGCGTTGGTACCATTGTGCTGCTTGTACTGCTTGTGTTGGACTGTATACCAGATGCAGCTGGAGAAATCTGTGACGACTGCGTGGGTTGTGTGGAACTGGTGCATTGTGTGTCTGGTTGGGAACGTACAGTTGTGCGTTTTTTCTTTGCGGGTCGTCCACCAATTTTCATTTTGTCCACTCTTGAACACCGAAGACCCAGGTCTTCGCGCGATACTCCCGATCGCCCACGACCAGCTCATCAAGAGCTGCCCATTGTTACCTTAGCCGTCCCGACACCCTCACCTCTGTGCATTCGGTCCACACGCACACACACACGCACACAGTACCCTAGTACATCGTTATCCCTGGTGGCGCCACCAGACTCTTAAATTATCCTCGTCAACTGTAACCTGACCTAACCACAGGCTCCCAGGATACATCAACTCCCTCATCGGATCACACCGAATCACAACCACTAGACCCTTATCAGAGCGCTGTTCCGAACAAACCACCAATGCCCTCAGGGTAACAACAAGCATCTAGCCGTACAGACAACGCAACCAACCATGACACCCAATCAGACTGATCAGAACCACAGTCAATGCCGATACATGATTTGGAACTAACCGCAGTTCCACACCTAGTCTAAAGCCTAGCCAGGGTTTCGGTCACGACCCGTAACTGAACCCATGCGAGCAAGTGACTGCTAACCGCAAGCAGGTGACGCACACAGCACAACAGCATGCCACAGACCACACCAGACCAAGTGCAACAGATTGTGGATGTCACTGCATGGATGGATGCAGACTAGCTCATATCCAAGCATTGGTTCATTGAAGGAGAGGTAGACATACATGCACATGTAGATCATGCGTTAGCAATACATACAAGTCAGTATACACGATGTCCGCGTGAGCAGGCGCTCATTGGGGTTCCGCTGAAGGTGCCGGCGGTGGTGGCGGTGGTGGCCGGACTGGTTTAACGACCACCGACCGTAGCCGACCGGTGTAAGTTGCGCTGACCTCTTCCTCATCTTCCGTGCCTCCGTAATCGAGATCGGTGTCCAGGTCCATCGCGACCTGGTCACCTTGACCTTCTGGCCCGCCGCGGACCGCGTCAGCATAGGAGGGCTTCTTGGGGGGTGCAGCATTGACAACTCCCGCCACACTTCCCGCTGCCACCACGGCAGCTGCAACAGTAGTCGCGGCAACTGTTGCCGCCGCCTCACCGCGAGGCTTCTCCGCAGGCCAACCTCGCTTGGCCAAGTGCGCCTGCCACCGCTCCTCCTGCTTCACCCGCTGTCGGTGAGAACAGGACCTCTTTTCTGGTGCGATGTTGGCAGACTCCTCGCCTTCCCGTCGCCGCTTCTGGGGTAGGGAACCGTTCCGCCTTGGTACCGGAGTGGAATCCTCACTCCTGCCGGCATCCGCACCGACGAAGGAGGAGAAGAAGCCCTCCGATGACCGCTGCAACCGAACCAGCTCGCCACGCAGCCTCCGCAGCAGCGTGGCAGGCCGTTCGCGCCCGTTTGCCTCCAAGGCCGCCGCTCCATCGCGGAGCGCCCTCCGGACCTCTTCTGCCTGGCAATTGCTAGTTTCCGCCATCTAGCCGTCCTTAGTACTACTAGTACTAAGAGTGGTGGGCAGACCCTGCTCGCAGCGCCAAATGTCTGGTTGGGAACGTACAGTTGTGCGTTTTTTCTTCGCGGGTCGTCCACCAATTTTCATTTTGTCCACTCTTGAACATGTCTTACACTGACTCTCAGCATCATGGGGTAACCACTCCACAGGGGATGCACATCCTCCACCACAACGATTGTTTTTGTCACTGGATAGTGCCCTGTTGACAGTTTTGTTGCACGTACTGCAGATGCGTGTGGGGTGGATATCAGGCTTGTCTTGGCTGACATCTATCCCAAACGATTTTTTTAGACCGTCCGCATTTTCGCGGACACTACAGTGTAGTTTGCTTACATTTAGTCAAGCGCACACCACCACCCACACCACCACCCACACCACCACCCACACCACCCACACCACCACCCACACCACCACCCACACCACCCACACCACCCACACCACCACCCACACCACCCACACCACCACCCACACCACCACCCACACCACCACCCACACCACCACCCACACCACCACCCACACCACCACCGACACCACCACCGACACCACCACCCACACCACCACCCACACCACCACCCACACCACCACCCACACCACCACCCACACCACCCACACCACCACCCACACCACCACCCACACCACCACCCACACCACCACCCACACCACCACCCACACCACCACCGACACACCACCACCCACACCACCACCCACACCACCCATACCACCACCCACACACCACCGACACCACCGACACGACACACCACCCACACACCACCGACACGACACCGACACGACACCGACACGACACCGACACGACACCGACACGACACCGACACGACAGAGAAGTGTCAGGGCTTGCAAGTGAGTGGCCATTCCTGCAGCAATCAAGCAAAATTTGTCCAATGGGTCGGTTAGAAAAATTTAGGAACGGATTGCGACGGGGCTTGCGCGAATGGTTCCTCACCTGAACGAAGAACAAGCAAAAACTAAGAGAAGTCGTCGGAAAACTCAGGAAACAGGGAAGGAAGGGGACGAATATCACTATCACACAAGGTATCTACGTGTATGGTACGAACTGACATGAAGAACGAAAAGAGATCGCGGAAGATTGGTTTTTCCGAATTTCGATGTACTGTAGTTCCTTTTGGAGTCGCTGCAGTAGATGTACATGTCTCAGTTGCTTCGATCATTGTTCTTCTGAGTGGCATAGAAGCTGCTCAGGAGAGGCGAGAAGATGGAAACGCGATCGAAAATGCACGTGAAAGTTTCAAAATTTCAAAATTCTCAGACCCTTGAGTACGGAAGAGTGCATGCGGGAGGTGTCCTCGTACCCGGGCTAATCTGGCCAGGATTATGTGTACTGTAACAGCAGTGAAGCCGCTGTTGTGTGTGTGTGTGTGTGTGTGTGTGCGTGTGCATGTGTGTGTGTGTGTGTGTGTGTGTGTGTGTGTGTGTGTGTGTGTACGTGTGTACGTGTGTACGTGTGTACGTGTGCGTGTGCATGTGTGTGCATGTATCATTGCTCTATAGGCTGTGAAAGATGATCTCACTGCCAAGCAGCCGACTTTGGAGCAGATCAATCGTGATGTAGCATTGTTACTAGCACTCAATCCACCGGATGAAGACTTGGTAAAACTGGAGGAGTCGCGCAAGTCCATTGCCAACTACTACGACGAGGTCTGGAAGATCGTTGACAAACTCCAGCGACTTCTGGAGAAGGCGATGCCCGAGGTGGGTATTGTAAGATGTCAACGGCTTTCTCTCAACACACGAGTGCAGTCCGCAACGTCGTTTTCCATGCATGTGCGACTGCGTCCAAGCTAGTGGCTCTACTGCACGTTGGGATGTTGGGAGAGTGTTTGAAGCAATTTGTGGTGTTGCACATGTGTGCCATTTTCCAGTCGCACTGCATACCAGTGGCCTTTGTTATGAAGTAGCATGACAATAGCATGATTGTTTTTGGACACGCCAGTAGTCTGTGTATTACATGTATAATCATGCTTGTGTTTCCTCACTCCAAACACGCAAACACGGTCTTTTTGCTGCAGACACCACTTTTAGGTTCACCAACTTCTAAAATTAATCATACTTATGATTCCGTTTGTTTTTGTTCCACTTGCCATGCAGCAAATGATCGGCATGAGTGATTGGCTGGTGCGAGTCAACGACTGGCTGCGTGCCCAGAATCCTGGAGCCGCTATTGCCAACGGCGCTGATGACGCCGCCATCATGCTGGAGGACTTACGGGTGAGAGCGGGTGTTGGCTGGGCGATATACTGCACTGCCATATACATTCAGTGGTCCATTATTTGTTCACAGTGCAGTGCAGTGCCTATTAGTGTTGAAACGATCTCACCGGATACTCGTTAGCTTGCTCGCCAGAAACTCGGCTCGTTTGTGCGGCCAGCTCGTTTGCACTAACGAACACCGTACACCGTACTCCGTGCACATGGCAGTACATGTCGACTGGAGAGTCGTAAAATATTTTACGACTCCCTGGTCGATCGAGAGTCCAGTCCCCCGCAAAGTGAAAATCACTCGCATTCACAGTGACTGTATGCCTGCACGACACTTGAGTTGTTTCAGTTGTCATTGCAGCTTTGGTGGACTCTAGTGATGTCTTGTTCCGCATCTGCTGACCTGTCGCAGGATATGCTTTGGTCACCTCTCCATTCAAGTGAAAGTTACGCTCAGTCGTTTGGAAGTTATCTCCCGCGATGCAGCGAAGACCAGGGCTACTTGCAATCTTTGCAAAAACGGTCTATTCTTACAAAGGCTACTCGACGACGGCGCTGAAAAGACATCTCACCAGCAAACAGCAGTCCGAAGTGAAGCAACAGCAACCCCAAATGCCGGCCGTGATAATTTGAACCAGCTGAAAAAATCGAACTTTAATAGAAAAAAATTATTCAAAAAATCATATTTACCACATCAATGAAACTCGTTAGCTCGCTCGATAGCTCGCTCGTTAGTGGAACTGATCGCTCGTTTGTTATAGATACGCTCGTTTCAACACTAGTGCCTATATATATAATATATGTGTAGTGTACTGTGGGCGATTAGAACCAGCCAGTCATGTGGTGTTGTGCTCGGGACTCACTGTTGCCCAGTCTCAAGGCTGGTGGTATCTGTGCTGGGAAAGGGATTTTCTGTGTTTGAATATGCAGCCACCATCAGTGCTGAAATGATTGTTGAACTGTGCTGAAGACTCACAGACAACTGCCAACCTGGATCTGCGAACTTTATTTAAAAGAAACCTCTGCATGGAGTTTGTGTTAGTCGTCCACTTTTCATGCATTTGCGTTGGGCTCCTGGCGGTTATCGCTAACTGTTAGCATTTCGATGTAGGTTCTGTGGTAATCTGCTCATGCTGTTTATGTATGTGCGCTGGGGGTGAAGTACAAGTCATGATGCATTCGGTGATGCATGTCAAGGAAATTATCCGGAAAAAGCACCTGAAGAAACTCCTAACTACACTCTCTCCACCGTGTTCATGTACCTGTATCGCTTGTATCAGTAACCTGATACTTGTTAACCCTTTGTGGGCGCTCATGCTTTCGTGTAATCGTTCCAACAGCGTACATGTAGCTGGGCAATCTGACCAGTATTCGCTACATGTCCGATTGTGTATGTTTATATGTGTGTGTGTGTGTGTGGGTATGTTTGTGTGTGTATGTTTGTGTGTGTATGTTTGTGTGTGTTTGTGTTTTATAGAAATGTGAGATGGACTTGAATGATCGCAGTCCCATCATGAACAGCATAACCACTATGTGCCAGTCACGTCTCACCGACCCGGAGATGACCGAGGAAGCCAAGGACATGCTCAGGAAGCAGCTGGACGTCCTGCAGAGCAACTTTGAGATGACTCTGTCGACCGTGCAGGTATGTACCGGTGTGAATGGCTGGTGCCCGATATACATTATCAAAGGGGAAAGTGTGAACATGTGTGTCATGACAGCCGCGTAATGGGGCAGAGAAGTTGATCTCAAGTCATTGTTCAGGACGTATGGTGTGCGTCGCCGTGTTTCCGGTATAAATCGGACTCTGTCCTCCGTTCACGAAATCTGTGTGATGCGTTTTCCGCAGTGCCGCACCAAAGTTATTTTCATAGGACGAAAATATTTCTCATGGAGACCCATTTTCAGCAATAGATGGAACTTTGGGTTCATTAGTGTTCAGTTGCTGTCATGGAAAGGACTGAAGCAGTGAATATGCTGACGAACATTACAGGCGCCAACCTGACCACGACCGTGGCCAGTGTCAGCACGCCCATACCCACACCCTCTATCTCTCTGCCTACGTGTCAGAGGGCTTCTGTCACGATCACTGTCTGATGAGCTGCCTCTCTGGTCATCGGAGCTGGAGTTGTCAGCGGTGTTTTGATCCAACTCCGTTTCAATCTCAGTTGACATGTTCATGTCAGAATCAATTTCCGAAGACTGGCAATATATCTCCACCAAAGGAAAGATCCGACTACTCCAAGAACACTTGCAAGGCAAATTCTTTTTCGTCCAGCTAATCCCCGAGCGCCGGGGCAGCTTGGGCGTAGCTTTCAGATAAATTTGACATTTTGTACAGCGATATACCACATTCTGCACATTGTTTGAAAGCTGCGGATCTCGCCGACTTCTGGTGCCGTTTTTTGAAATTATACATTTCCATGGACGCAAAGATGATTTGAATGCACGCACTCAAAGTGCATGCCCAGTATACTGTGCGAATTTGTATGTGCTGGTTAAACATATTTACGGTGTAGCCTATACCCTAGTGCGGTTCTGACACCGAAAATATGGTGTCACGTGTCGACCTGTGTGTGTGTGTGTGTGTGTGTGTGTGTGTGTGTGTGTGTGTGTGTGTGTGTGTGTGTGTGTGTGTGTGTGTGTGTGTGTGTGTGTGTCTGTCTGTGTGTCTGTCTGTCTGTATGTATGTATGTCTGTATGTATGTCTGTGCATGCATGCGTGCGTATGTGCATGTGTGTATGTGCGTGTGACAGATGAAGCAAGCGTGGCTGCAGTACTATGAAAAGCGTGGCCGTAAGGTACGCGAGGCCCTCACCAAGCATCTTCTCTGGTTCACGGAGCACGATCAGAACATCTCCTTGTTCGTCAATCCAGCTGTTGATCTTCCTGTTCTTGAGAAGCAGATCTTAGAACATGGCGTAAGTACTGGTGTCAGTTTGACTGCTTGTTGTTATAGGTACTTCTACAGTCCTACAGTCCTGTCCAACTAAAGGAGACTTGGTGTTCAGCCCGACTGATGCCCAGCTGATTTTGGACCTGTTATGAAATGGTTTCTCGCCACCTCTAGCCACTCAGGTGTGACCACTTTGGTCAGTGTACTCTGATTTCGATAATCTAGGGCTTGGTGGAAATCTCTTGGCTATGGAAATCCACTGGAGCCCCAGTTCCATCCTGGCTGGTGCTGAACGTCCTGAATGAGTGCCATGCACCACAGCAACTCCCAAACCTCTCTTCAGTCAGCGTACTGGACTTCAATATGTTAAGCTGTGCCAGTCCCAGATTGTCGTATGGGTTTGTGAGACGAGGACACTGTCCCCTGTATCCAGGAGGCGCTGAGTGTCAAAGCACACCTGTATTTCAGAGCTTCCAGTGTGCGTATAAAGCAACTTGGCATGCTGGCATGTGACTCTACAGACAGTACATAGTATTCAAGGGTGCTTTACGGTCCTTGCTGCCCCCTGCAACTCCCCGCACCCTTACTTGGTTTTTGCTGACTTGCTGGATATCTTGTTCAAGTGGAGATTTTAGCATGTAGACGTACATGTACATGTAGCTGAGACGAGCACTTTCATTCTTGTCTTGCTTCTGTAGGCTTTCATCGCCTCCATTCATCAGGAACAAGCCAACATCATCACCCTGAAGCACTTGGCTGTGGTGCTGATGTTGCAGGCGACAAGCTCATCAGGTCCATCTACTGACAGCTCGCCACTGTCCTCGCCAGAAGACACGAGCGACGTGCCAGCCAGCTTCCCGCCGCTGCCGCCGTGCAAGCTGAACGAAGCCATCACACAACTGATCTTGCGACTGCAGAGTCTGCTGCAGAAGGCCACCACACATCAGCACAAGCTGGATGATGCTCGGCAGCAGCTCCACGAGCTTCTAGCGTCAATCGAGAGCTTCTTGGACTGGATCAAGGCAACAGAGGAGAAGATCAGTGAGCCGGTCGGTGAGCGCAGTGAGATCCTCGTCTTGCAGAAGCAACTGGAGACTTGCTTGGTAAGAGACCCAGGCCGGCACACAATGGTGCATTGAACTTCGTATTCAAGGACTGGTGCAACGTGTGTGTGTGTGTGCGTGTGTGTACATGGTGTGTGTGTGTGTGTGTATGTGCATGCGTGTGTTTGTGTGTTTGTGTGTGCGTATGTGCATGTGTGTGTGCATGCATGCGTGTGTACATGCGTGCGCGATTATGTGTAGATATTCAGCTAGTGGTTTTGTAGATTTTTTCCTGTGAGGGTGAAATGTAGGAAATGTTACTGTTGTTGAAGTGATACTTGCTGTGCTTTATTTAATTATTTGTGTAGTGATACTTGCTGTGCTTTATTGAATTATTTGTGTCCAGTACAGTGGGATTAGATTGAAGTAGTGTTTTCTCCTTCCTCCTCTCAATGTTGTTCAGAATATCAAGGCCGAGCTACCTGCGCAGAAGACAAACTTGCAGCAGATTGATAGCAACTGCAATGAATTCCTGGACTCCTCCAATGGTCCCGATCAGAACTCATCGTTCATGAAGAGCAGGGCTAATTTGGACAACGAGTGGAAGCAGCTCCTGGTCAAGGTGAGCCACACACAGGCATGGATTCATCAGTGCCAGTGTGACGGGGCTTGATGACCAAGTAATTAGTTCCATGCATATTTTTGGATTCTGATCCCATATATTCCTATAGCACATGGACTGTTACACTGTCATGTTTGGCGGGTCTTATCTCACCGTACGTTCTACAGTCTGTGGCCGTATCTCCTACAGTAAACTTCTATTTTTCTGCAGAAACTCCGTTGCGTAGCACATGTACATGTATCATTTTGGCTTTGCGTAGATCGATACTGACCCATGTCTGCCCACGTGCATAGCTATGCATGGCTGTGTCTGCACGAGTGTCATTTCTTTACTCTCGAGCATGTGTGCATGTGCATGGAAGTGGATACTGAGTCACAACAGCACAGCGGGGAAATTTAAGTGTGCGTCTGTTGCGCTCGTTATCGTTCAGCGTGAGTCACCATTACCTGAACGTTCTGACTCTGTGTGTTGTTGCTATGTGCGCCCATTGTATACAGCTGGAGACTCGGCAGGCTGAGATCGAGGAGCGTATGAAGGGTACGTCTCCCGGTGCCATCCAGTTTGCCACTGACCATGCGCAGGCGCTACAGTGGATGATCTACACGGAGGACCAGTTATCCATGGCCGTCGCTGTGAATGCTGACTTGCCTGCTCTGCAGGAGCACAACAAACAACACATGGTACGTAGGTGCATGTACCGTCCGCAGCTTCTGTCATCGTGGAGTCCTGTGTTGTTCCTTTCAAGGTCTTGCGCATAGCTTGTGCAAAGCTTCCAACAGCACACACACGGGCACACATAGTTGTACATGCTTCCTGCCAGAAACTGATCGCGTGCGTCTCCCATTGGGAGAGGCAGAGGTTCCGAAGAAATCCGAGAAAGATGACTCCATTCGCTATTAAACCGGCCAACGACTGAAAACTCCCATGTCCCCAATCTTGGACTTGGAAAATATGACCCCATTTATGCCGTAGTTTTGGGCTCACCACACCGCTGTATGGGGACGCTTGCTCCAACACCCCCCCCCCCCCCCCCATCGTGAGAATAAAGAATTCAAACACACACGCACGCACATTGAAAAGCAAACTTTTTGTCTCTAAGAATTACAATTCCAGTTTTGATGTGTATAGCCTGTGCCTTTTGCCAGCAAGAAGTGTTTGTTTGTTTGTATTCTTTATTTAGAGTGGGAAGTCCAAAACAGGCCCTAGCCTAATAACGATGGTCCCACTAGTGAGGGAATGCTAAGTGCAATGCGCTGTTAGGTTATGATTATGATTGTGTTCTTCTTTGACGGGATTACGGGATTGGGAGATGCGTTGTGATGATCCTGTACGTCCCACAAAGTCGCCCCCCCCCCCCCACACACACCCTCTCTCCCCTTCTCTCTCTCCTCAGAAAAGGTACCCAATCGTAAATGAAGGCCCTTGTGCTCTGGTGGTTGCAACTTTTGGTGTGTTTTTTTTCCTGTCCACTTTGCTTCTATGTGGAAAGGAGTTTACACGTTACAGCCGCTAACACTCAATTCAAGGACCGGAAGAGGTCATGAAAAGTTCCTGGGGTTACCTAGCATACTATCAATGCTAATATAATGCTTGTTACCTAAAAGAATTCTTGTGTTGTTGTGTTCCCCTGTGTAATAATGTGTGCAGGAGATCGTGCAGCGTATCCCCCAGCGCCAGGCTGAGGTGGATGCATTGCACTCACAGGGTGAAGGACTCTTGGCTGGTGGTCAGCTCTCGTCTGAAGACCGTGCGTCCGTTGAGAACCAGATGTCGTCGCTCGACTCCCACTGGGAGCGCATCCTGACAGATTCGTCCACAAAGACGAAGGAGCTCTCCGCCGGTCTTGTGGTAGTCAATGATGTGTATGATGAGTTGAAGAACTTCAAGGAGTTCATTCTGGATGCTGAAGACACTCTAGCCTGTGCTGATACCATTGGTGGCAAGAACTCTGAGGAGCTGCAGGAACTGATGGCCGCCGTTGCTGAGAGGCAGCCAGCGTTTGACGATCTACTGCAGAACGGCGAGAATCTGGTCAGGGCAGACACTGAGATTGCGGCATCCAGTGCTCTCAAGCTGGAGTTGTTCCAAGTGGAGAATCGCTGGAAGTCTATCAGGCTACGCCTCGCCAAATGGGCCAAGCAGCTTGGATTTGACAAGGTGAGTGTGCCCGGATTGTTGTATCATGTGCATGGTCTGATCAATCTGCACTGCCTGTATTGTTTATGAATTTTGTTTGGGAGAGTGCAGTCTGAGATGTTTTTCTCTATCTTCTCCCTGTGTAACTTGCTGTGTGGAAGGATTTCTACAAGATGCTGGCTGATCTGTTGGCATGGCTGTCGGCAGCTGAGGACAGCGTGACCATGCCCAACCCGTCGGTAACGCAGAGTGCTGCCATCACCGACATGCTCAACAATCTATCTGTAAGTCGTTATCTACTAGTATTAGCGGCGGCCTTGCTCTGTGTTGTGTTCCGACTCGCACCCACTGCAATACTGTTATGAACAGTTCACTACTGCTCGCCTTCTTGTACTGTTGCTATGCACTCTATTCCATCGGCAATGCCAGCCAGCAGTAGCTCATAACATAGTGGAGTAGATGAGCGTGCCGTGAGAAGAGTGCCACACAGTAGTGAAGAATAAAGGGTAAGAATATTACGAATAGTAGTGATCAAAGCCTGTGCGTTTGCCCGAGCTAACAGGACGGAATGTGTTAAATTTTCGAACCTGTGTACTGTACAGGAGTTGAGACATTCTCTGGACCACACACAGCGACCGTTGCTAGCTGAGGCGCAGAGTGCCCAAGCACAGATGCAGGTGAACGCCCGTGACGGTGGTGACGAGGAGAAGGAACAGGCTGACCATGCCAAACGGGAGGTGACCGATGTCAAGGTACTACTTGGACATGTGTACTTAGTATGTGCATGTACTGACACGTGTACAGTCCTTCCGTACCGGCTGTTACTAGCTCTGCCGAGAGGAGACATGCCCTTGTGTAGCACAGTGTACATGTGTTTGAAGGTGCTGCGTCTCCGTTAGTTGTTTGTTGGTGACTGTACGGTGTATATGTGCAGCATAGTGTAACTGTTAGTGTGGTGTGCTGTGCTGTGCTGTGCTGTGGTGTGCTGTGCTGTGGTGTGCTGTGCTGTGGTGTGCTGTGCTGTGCTGTGCTGTGCTGTGCTGTGCTGTGCTGTGCTGTGCTGTGCTGTGGTGTGGTGTGGTGCGGTGCGGTGCGGTGCGGTGTGGTGTGGTGTGGTGTGGTGTGGTGTGGTGTGGTGTGGTGTGGCAGTGTGGTGTGGTGTGGTGCGGTGCGGTGCGGTGCGGTGTGGTGTGGTGCGGTGTGCTGTGGTGCTTTGCGTCCTGGGGTGATGTGGTGTGGTGTAATGCATGTGCGCAGTGCAATTTTTGCTTCAAGCGGAAATGTGTTGCGTCCGCAGAAAATGTTCCAGGCTGGTGGCTGTTGTCTGGTGATTGCCTACTTGTGCGTGGAACTCCGAGTCACAACACAATCCCCCTGCTCCTTGTCTTGTTGTCTGTACGTGGAACTGAGAGTCACAACACAATCACCCTGCTCCTTGTCTTGTTATCCATGGTGTTTTTTCTCCTTGTGAACAGGGTCGTCTTGACACTCTCGCACACGACCTCGACGCAAAGATCATCAGCTTAAAACCCGAGCCCCATGTCATGATGGAGAGAGTGGATCAGGTGGAGAGCACGTGGGACTTTGACCAGTTCATGAAAAGCTCCAGCCAAGGCGCAGGTGCAGGCGCAGGTGCTGATGCCGACGATATCGACTCTTGGCTTGCATCTGCTGAGAAGCTTATTGGGCGCCCGCCGCCTGTCTACTCTGTGGAGGCGTTATCTCTAAGACTGTCAGAACTCGAGGTACTTACCGGGTACTTGCGTGCGTGTGCTTTCCTATAGTCCAGGGTTTTTGTTGACCGTGGAGTGACATTGCGTGATACATGTTGTGCAATGTACATGTATGATGGTGCATGTACCTGTGTTCTCACTGTAGGCTGTATCGACTGCTTGTGTGCCTGCGTATGTGCGTTCATGTGTGCGTACGTGTGTGCGTGCGTGTGTGAGTGGTATGTGCAGCGATTTCCAATCGAGAGGTTGTGGGTTCGATTCCCGACGATTATGTCACACACGTCTTTCTTCTCTTTCTCAGTCTCCTCCTGACTTTTCTTTCATTCTCCTGGGTGGTTTCCAACAGCCAGTGCATGCCGGAGTATGTGGTGTGATGTGTGTGTGCGGGAAAAAATATGAAAAAGACCAAAAAGTAGGGATTCACTGGCCAGAAAAAGCCACTTCATAGCTGTGTGGTGTAGACCAGGCTGAATAGTGGCGGTCAATTCTTCAGCCTTGCAAGCTGTTGAATGGTGCAATCCCAGCACAAGCTGCTATGGCTTCTGCTGTAGCACCGCTATCATCGCCTCCGGCGATGGGCGTCCAATGGTCCAATGGTGCGTGGGTGCATATGTGCGCATGTGTAACTTATATGTCCTTGTGTATGTTTTGCCATTAGAAACTCTGTCGTGAAGTCAAGGAGAAGCGTCCGCAACTCTCCTCTGGAGGAGAGGAGGTACGTGATCAGGTGAATCTCTATTCGATACGACCCCAGTCGGTTATTTTCGTATGGATTGCTGCAATGTCTGGTGCTATTGATCTTCGCACATGTGCTAGAGTTTTCCTTGCTGTCAGGAATTCTGGTGACTGTATGTGCTGAGTAAATCTACCCAAAGTGGGAGATGCTGGTCAGGGATTTCACACGTATACACCCACGACGCAACAACCTCACACTCAACAGTGGATGGTTTTACAATAAGTTCGGTACATACCCAATGAACAAACAGTGGGGTGGAGGGAGAGGAAAAGGACTACACCGAGCGTGAGATGGCCTTCAAGTCATTGTTCAGTGAGAACTACCAGAACTTCCAGTTAACATACATATGCGCATGCTTGTGCAGGATGAGTGACGTAACACAGGGTAGTTATACGAGTAATGCCACCACAATGCCGCCGTCCCTGTGTGTTCGTTCTGTCTCTTGTATGCTTGCTAGCTTTGCCTGTTTTCCTGGAACGCATAGGGTATGCTACATGTTACGTCAGCTCCCAGCTTGCCATGTATCCGCTAGAAGAGTTTGTGTTTGTTTTTCATGTGGTGGTGCAGCAGGGTGGGGAGCGTACGCGCCAGCGTTTCAACGATGTTGACCTGAAATCGCGTGCACTGGAGGCCGAGACTGGCGACAACCTGCGCAACCTGAAGAAGCTGGAGGTGGACACGCGCCAAGTGGAGTTCTGGCTCACCGACGTCACGCCCACTGCCGATCTTGTGGCCAGCGGCGATTCCATTGATGGGCCAGCCCAGAAAGATGTGGACGTAAGTTTGTGTGTGTGTGTGTGTGTGTGTTTTGTAATCCGCAGAGTTGCTCGAAGGTTCTTTGGATGACTAGTAGATGTGCTTGTGTATATAGCTGTCGTGGCTTGGCACAGCGGATCCTGGTGTTAATCTCTGCGCTCGTGTTATTGTCAGTCTCAACACAGCCATACCTATATCATACCTCTGTCATACATCCGTCCTACCTATGTTATAATATTTTTTAGGTGGCTCGCCAGCAATTGCCAAACTACCAGATGCTACTAGCTACCACTACAGTTGGTGCTGAGCTGCTGGAGGCAGATGAAGTTGACGGTCCCGAAGGCTCTAGCTCCCTCAGTCACATGCTGAGAAACCTGCGACGGCTCAGTGATGATATGGCCATTGTTGCTGAAAAGGTACGGCACCTGTGTCTATGACTGTTTACGTTGGCATGCAGTTGAAGTTGTGTGGTGGGAAGGCATGTGGTGTTCAGTGATAGCCAGCATGCCTGTAGACGTTGAACCCTGTTTCTCCTGCTCAACGTGCAGTGGGATAGTGTTGCTGGGATGCTCATAACATTTGGGTGAATGTTTCGGTTTGCGTGCATGTGTGTGTGTGTCTGTCTGTCTGTCTGTCTGTCTGTCTGTTTGTTTGTCTGTCTGTCTGTCTGTCTGTCTGTTTGTCTGTCTGTCTGTCTGTCTGTCTGTCTGTCTGTCTGTCTGTCTGTCTGTGTGGGTGTTTGTGTATGTGTCTGTGTATTATTTTCTATGACTTTCAGCTTCTTGGTGCCAGCGAGAGCAAGCTTGAGGAGATTGCCTTGTTACTTGGCTACATTGATGATGAGCATCGGAGACTGATGAACTGGCTAGCTGACCTTCAGGTTGTCCTGAAGCAGCCCATGCAAAGTGGTGACGTCATTGACTACGTGGCCATTGAAGCGGCTATCAGAAGTGCTAATGTAAGTATGATCCACCCCATGCACCACCACCACCACCCATATGGCCATGCGCCCATGCCACATACTAACTTACTACCAGGTTTGAAGGAACACAGTCACTTCCCATGTGAATAGACCATTCTCATCCACACAATAGCATTCCGAGCTGATTGTCAGCCATCAGCTGATTGTCAGCCATCAGCTGATATTTCTTTAAGAAATACCACAGTAAATAGGTGATTGTCACAAGAGGTGCAGGATCTGATGCAGCTGGACACTGTATGAATGATTGACGAATCGATGTTTTCTTTGAGTGACACAGTCACACATCAATAGCCCCATGACATTCATGTGTGACCTATCATGGGTTTTGGATAAGATCAGCTTCAATTACCCTTGCACGGACATAGGTGTACGTATAGTTTTAGACCTCATGTATATACAGTGGTGTGTCGGGTGGGGCAGTCTAACTCATGTGACCCAAGTTTGACCCTGTATCGGCATAGCCCCCCCCCCCCCCCCACACACACACACTCACGCACATACAGACAGATAGACACTCCCCTTCCTACTCCAGTAAACTTGTAGACCCAAAGTCCCTATGCCATGATGTTAGTTACGCTGTGCTTGCCCTGTCCACGCTGCCACCACCAGGAAATAAGCACATCGCTGGAGGACACCAACCGCCCCAAGCGTCTCAACTTCACGGCCAAGTGCGACGATGCCATCTCACAGTTTGGAGGCAGCAGCGACGGCCATGACGTGACGCAGAAGTAAGTGCTCAAGCATCTGTATAGTCGGTGTTGCTGTGTGTAGTCAGTGTTGCTGTGTGTACACGGTGTTGCTGCTAGAAAGTAGAAATACAGCACAATACTGGTCAACAGGAGACAGATGGGCAAGGGTGCTGCAACACCCAGGAGCTTGGTGTGCATAGTATATCGCTGTTGGGTACAGCATCACGATTTTGTGTGTAATCGTGGCACACGTGCACCAGCCTGCAGTGCGTGGGATGGACGCTGTGCCCAGGGATGGTTCCATACTTCATTGACCAGTACTGTAGCTGTGCGAGGCTTTCTCTGGCGTGCTTTGTTTCCAGTAGAGTGTGACTGCGTTCCCGTGCAGTATTTTAAACTTAACCCGGTTCTTCTGTGCTGCGTTGTGCTGTGCTGTGCTGTGCTGTGCTGTGCTGTGCTGTGCTGCGTTGTGCTGTGCTGTGCTGTGCTGTGCTGTGCTGCGTTGTGCTGTGCTGTGCTGTGCTGTGCTGCGTTGTGCTGTGCTGTGCTGCGTTGTGCTGTGCTGCGTTGTGCTGTGCTGTGCTGTGTTGTGCTGTGCTGTGCTGTGCTGTGCTGTGCTGTGCTGTGCTGTGCTGCGTTGCGCTGCGCTGCGCTGTGCTGTGCTGTGCTGTGCTGTGCTGTGCTGCGTTGTGCTGCGTTGTGCTGCGTTGTGCTGTGCTGCGCTGTGCTGTGCTGTGCTGTGCTGTGCTGTGCTGCGTTGTGCTGTGCTGTGCTGTGCTGTGCTGTGCTGTGCTGCGTTGTGCTGTGCTGCGTTGTGCTGTGCTGTGCTGTGCTGTGCTGTGCTGTGCTGTGCTGTGCTGTGCTGCGTTGTGCTGTGCTGTGCTGCGTTGTGCTGTGCTGTGCTGCGTTGTGCTGTGCTGTGCTGTGCTGTGCTGTGCTGCGTTGTGCTGTGCTGTGCTGTGCTGTGCTGTGCTGTGCTGTGCTGTGCTGCGTTGTGCTGTGCTGCGCTGCGTTGTGCTGTGCTGCGCTGCGTTGTGCTGTGCTGTGCTGCGTTGTGCTGTGCTGTGCTGTGCTGTGCTGTGCTGTGCTGTGCTGTGCTGTGCTGTGCTGTGCTGTGCTGCGTTGTGCTGTGCTGCGTTGTGCTGTGCTGTGCTGCGTTGTGCTGTGCTGTGCTGTGCTGTGCTGTGCTGTAGGCGTGATGAGGTGAACACAACGTGGGACGAGACCATTGAGATGTGTCGACGTCGTCTAGATGATTTGCTGCGACTGCAGACTGAGGTACGGAAAGAGCCAGCCATGATGGTATATGTCTTCCACTCTTGTGGCTGTGTTGAGTGTGTTCCACTCTTGGTGGTAGCCGTGTGTTCTGAATATGCCCCATTTAGCGGTTTATTTGTATATTGTCATGTTGAAAAGAACGAAACCGCATGTTGTCCGCAGATTGAGTATAGGTTCATGTTGTAATAATACGTGGGCGTGTGATCTTCTGTGCTTGATCTCCAGGTTCCAGTCATTGCACCCATGGAAGGCATGCCACCGCCACCACCTGCTGCCCGCGATGCATCTGCTCAAGAGCTCCTAGACTGGCTCAATTCATTCGATGTCCCCAAGGCTGTGGTCGGCGATGCGGAGAACTGTAAACGCGTGGCAGCTTATGTTGAGGTATGAGCTTCTCTCCTTGTACTTGTTCCTCCGCAATTTGCTCTTGTAACACAGCAGCAGCAGGCACGGTGTGTTATGTGGGCTATTCCCCTCCTCCCTTGTCTTGGTCCACCACTGCCGCCGCCACCGCCGGAGTATCAGTGTACATTGTAGTATCCTGTTGCCAGTGCCTGTATTCACCTAGTCTGTTGTAACTTGTTAGAGCTGTTCCATTACATCATCACGTGAGCTGGTTTGTATTGAGCAGAATCAAGCACTGGCTTTCCAATCCACTCACAGCCAATGTATTGATGATGTCATCGGCACTCACAGCCAATGTATTGATGATGTCATCGGCACTCACAGCCAATGTATTGATGATGTCATCGGATTGCTTCTATATACTTGTACTCTGGTGAACGTTCTTGCAGTCAGTGGTTGTTAGTGTAGTAGACCATCGCAGTCAGTGGTTGTTAGTGTAGTAGACCATCGCATGGCCTGTATGCATTGCATTGTCGAGTATTGTGTGTAATTTCCTGCCTCCATTGTTCCCACCGCAGGCCGTCAATAAGTACCTTGCAATGAAGAGTGCCAACTACTTGAATGCTACCGACGAGAGTGTGGAAAGCGATGCAGACAGGTATGGTGTGTGTGTGTGTGTGTGTGTGTGCGCGCCCGCGCACGCCCGCCCGCGCATTTATGCATGTGTGTGCATGTGCAGCTTGCAGTTGGTGTATGCGCTGGTGTAATGTGGATGAATTTGTCCAATGTAGTACTTCTTTCTGCACATGTTTGTACAGACCCATCTCCATGCAGCGGTGTGTATGTGTGTATGTGTGTATGTGTGTATGTGTGTATGTGTGTATGTGTGTATGTGTGTATGTGTGTATGTGTGTATGTGTGTATGTGTGTATGTGTGTATGTGTGTGTGTGTATGTGTGTATGTGTGTGTGTGTATGTGTGTATGTGTGTATGTGTGTATGTGTGTGTGTACCCACCCTGCTCACTCTATCCGCATCTTTGGCTTGTGTACCTTTTCAGGGTTGCTGAATTGACCAGCAAGTGGTCGCAGACTCAGGAGAGCGCCAAGGAGCTGGCTGATACACTACCCAAACTGACCGAGGAGAGCAACGACTTTGAGGACAAGTACCAGCCGCTGTTTGACAGGCTGACTGCTGCGCAGGTGTTGGTGACCGGCCCTGTGCAAGCGGATGATGTCGACTACGCATCCAGTGCAGTCATGGATAAGCTCAAGCAGTGCAAGGTATTTACCATGCTCCAGTATATACATGTATGTATATTGAGACATGAATGACACGGACCACCCGAGTTCCGGCTTGCTGGACGCTTACCAGATAATATGGGGAATTCCGATAAAATCATGGCATCTCCCTTTTGTGGGCCGCTTGGTGAACATAGGACGTAAAGTAACAGGCGTGTGTTGTCTGTATTGAGCTGCTGGCGTCTGATGTGTTGACCCTGCTACTTACGCTTGCATGTTGCCTGATGTGTTGACCCTGCTACTTACGCTTGCATGTTGACACACACACAGAGCACTTACATGTAGACACACTGCTTCCAAGCATGGCGTTGTGTACTCTCAGCTTGTCTCTGTACACACACACACAGTAATGATGATGTGCATGCATTCGTTGTATGTTTTCACCGCAGGAGGTGCAGAGCTGTGACTGGCAGCTTGAAATCCTGCCGGTGCACCAGGAGGGCGAGTTGCTGGCGCAGCGCTATGACCGAGTGCAGAGCTGCACGACGCCGCCACTGCGACAGCGCTTGCAGCAGCTGGCCGCATTGCTGACGGTGGTTGAGTCTACGTAAGTGTTGTTGTGGGCCATGCCTGACCTGTTATGGGATATCGTGTCTGCCTTAGTGGAATTGATATTTGTAGCCGACACTTCTGACAGAAAAATCAACTGTGAGAGAATGCTGTGCCTCCCGAAAAAGTCCATGGTTTGTATCAGAAGTGCCACCACCCGCAGATGCAGCTCCTAAAGAGGTGGGAGGTCAGACCCACCACAAAGTGGTCAAAGATCGAAAAATCTGATTTGCTGCATCCATGTTTTCCGATTGCCAGGCCACGAGTATCCTTCCGCTTCCGAGCAGGACTTGAATTTGGCACCCGCTGTCTCCCTGTTTAATATGGTCTTAGCCCATCCCACTATACCTGCCTGCAATACGCAATAGGCCCGCCTAATTTAGCTGAAATCAAAAGCCCCTTTGATCGCTTTTCCCAATGTAGAATGCGCCCAGGACTTTATAATAGTACGACTGGTGTACATGCAGTGTACAGCCAAGTGGGGTAAAGAAGGGGAGGGGGAGGGGGGGGGGGTAAAGGAAGGGGGGGGGGGCTTGAACAAAAAAACTAAGAACTGTACTTTATTCGGCTTAATTAACTGCGGCGCAAACGGCCGGGAATAAACCGAGGAAGGAAAGCCGTGAGCTCATCTGTAACCTCTCTCTCTCTCTCTCTCTTGCACAAATTACATCGAAAACTGAAGAAAGAGGGGATGGCAGTGGCTTCCTGTAGGCTGGATGATAGGGTAGCTACGTCTAAACCGATTGTATATCCTAATTTGGGAATGCTAACAGTGATTGGTGACAATACTGGGTCTTTCCAACACCACAGCCTTACCAGTACACACAAGTGTACGGATATCATGCCATCAATGTGGACATCAACATGACGGGTGACGAGAGGAGGAGGTGGTGTGAACCAGGGTCATTTAGAAAAGAAACAGTGGGCGCTGACAGTCGCGTTTATGAGGGAAAAAACCAGGTGTATACCCAAATGTGGGAACACTAGCTGTCTTGGCTAGATAACCGTGGCCATGTGTACACATTCTAGCAAGGTGTGGCCTTCACAGGGTTATCTTCTTGTGCCGACTTTACGGCAGCTTGCTTGTCAAGTTTCTGATCCGGAAACCAGAAATCGACTATTTCCCTTCTGCACAAAGTTGTCTCAGGATTTGAGCATCCACTATATAGCTTGCTGCAGAGCAGTGCGAATACCATCAGCAGCCTCGAACAATTCTTCGTCCTAGAATGCCTATCACTTCCGTTCCTTCGAAAGCTCTACATGAAACAGAAGGCAGAGTCGCAAATTATTGTAAGAGACATTCGATAAATCACTCCAGAATGGAGAGAAATCACCTGATAAGATCATCACTGATGTCTTCTTCGAACTCCCACGTCACATCATATGGACTGAAACCTCTCCTTTTCACTCACGGAGCAACCGGTTTGTACATGGCGTAGTGGTCTACCAGAGAATGTACTCGCGGAGAATGTGTCAGAGAATGTACTCACAGTGTACCGCAAAACCACACTCGCAGCGACACGCTAGCAAAACAGGCCAGAAAGTGATCAAGAACATGTCGACGAACTGGGCCTGTAGACCTGGTGACTTGAGTTTTTTGTGAGCTTGGCTTTGTTGATTGGTCAGTGACTGAGCAGCTTTCAGTTTTGCCACCTCAGCGCGGGCTGCCGTGGCCTCCTCTTGCACTCCCTTTATTTGTGATGAAAGATTTGTAAACGCAGAGGCGAACCACGACGGCATCTCTTCATCTGCCGAGCTCGGTGGTGGTGGTGGTGGGACAGGTGAGGCGGCGGAGGTGGCAGCTGGGCGTCGTCTGGCGGTCCTAGCAGGCCCTGGAGGAACTAGAGGAGCCATGGTTCCATGGCTGCGAGTAGACATTGGCATGGCGAAATATCTGGACGTCAAAAACTCCAAGCTACCACGAGGAACACAAGACCACGATGGCAGGTGAGAGAGAGTTGCCCAGTGGAAGAGTAGCAGTACTCGGACTGCGTGGCCAGGATGTTCTGATATGTTGTAAACGCACTCTCTTTGAAGCAGCAAGGCAAAAACTGCAACCTTTCAGCATCGTGGTGTATCCATTTACGACGCACGCAGCGTTGAACCGGGCGATGAAAGAGTGCCAATCGTCTTGGCTGCAACCCCCAAACGTCGGCGGTACAACTACAGGGCGAGCAAGTGGTGCATGGCGAGGAGCTGGGGCCTGAGCTGGAGCTGCGGGAGCAGCGGCAGCAGCAGCAGCTTGAGGAGCCTGTGCCATTTTATCGTGAAAATAGGTGGTGAGTGATCTATCGCTCTCCTCGCCTGTGTCAGGCAAGCTGTAGGAGAGTGATCCAAAAATTCTCACTCCAACAACACAGCACATTATTGATATCAGTTTTTTCGAGAAAAAATTCTGGATGCATCAGTGACTAGTGCAACTCACCTCGAAATGAATCGTCGATGGCTGTCTTCAAATTGTTCGCAGTCGCATCGCCGTAATTGTCTACATTCATCAGGGCTAGGGTGAAGAAAACCGGCTCGCCTTCCTTTACAACACGAACAAGCACGAGTTCCTTCTCGCTTCTGGTTTTGCGGGCCTGCAATCCATCGCTCAACACAGAAAATGCAGTTGATGGAGAGATGATACTTGCGATCTTCTTCTGCATAGTGGCAGACAACAAACGGACGAATTCTCTTGCCTTATGCGATGAGTCACAGCCCTTGATGAGCTTCACCCCGTTTGCTTTCTGAATTTCCACTGCGGGCACAGTTCCTGCGCACGGATCGATGAGTGCACTTGACACCATAGACCCATAGTAGAGTTGCGCTGCACTCCGAAAAGCGTACATGCGCATGCATGCAAGCCAAAAATAGTTACAGACGCGCGACAAAAAGTGCACCTTCCAAGAAAATAAGGAGCGCGATGGCGTGCGAGAGCGATCACTCACCTCAAATCACAGGGTCTGATATAAGGATAACAAACTAAGACTTTGTAAGCAACCACGGGACGCGTTTGAGGACTAAAGCCTACGCTAGTACAGCAGCAGTTCAAGCACGAGCAGCTTAGGGGACAAGACTATGCTTGAGTTTAGAGGAGAACGGCAGTCACTGCACGGCGAGAGTCGGAAATAAAGAGGCGTGGTTCCGGAAATACTGCAACTGGCGAACGCAGAGGCCAACACCGCTGCCACCAAATGTAATGAGCAACCAAGTGACAAGGCAAACTGGATTTCTCTTACGACTCACAATTGTGCAAGTAGTAGTTTCAGGGAATAATATTGAACGAAGAGATTGCACGAAGAGACAGCGTAGGTAGCACAGAACTGATACTGAAAGACTCAAGTGAAGGTAAGACTAAAAGCAACAGAAGCAAAGACTTGGCAACAACTGAACTGGGGAAACTGACAGACGAATCTATACACGGTAAAAGATTGAAGTCCAGTTACAGCTCCGAGCTCTAGCTAGCGATCTCTAAATGTAAGCAAGGGACAGTGACAGCTACGCATCACTGGCCACATAAGTGCTATTGTGTGGAAGGAAGAATACAGATACTATCTAATGTAGGTAACAAGAGACCTAATGGTGCCAGCAATGAATAGTGCAGTACATAGCGGTTTGTGTAGGAGGAAGTCCGTTTAGTACAAATCCTATTCTTGCTATAGCTTGCTTTTTGGAGAAATAGACTTCAGAAACATAATTGGAAGAGCATTCCATGGGGGATTGCCTAACAAATTGTTAAAAAACTCAAAATTTGACCCATTTACGGCCGAAAGCTAGGATATCTTTTTTATGAATGGACTGTAGGTGTCATAAAATGGGAAATCACCCAGCTGGGTGCGATTTTTACGTGTCACAGATTGCCGGTGACGGTGGGAGCGACACCAGACATCGAACGGATCTAGATTTTAGACGGGTAGACGTTATCCAGGTGGAGCTAGTATGCCTTGTTTTTTTTAGACCTAAAACAGGGTGGGCAGTCTGAGGACCTGTCTCACGAATGGCCCAGGAGTCAGGACACCATAGTTGTGTGGCAAGAGGGATCTAGTGGGATAGAGTAGATCTTAGCTTTTGTATTATGAGGAGTACTAATGTCGCAATCAACAGTACCATTAAATTATTGTCCCCTCACCACCTGTTTAACTATTGTCCCATCCTAGCTAAGCATATCAGTTGGTGCTCTGATTCTTCAGGTATACTGTAAGCCCGCAATCGTTTGCGTCCGTTTTAGTTCGCGAACTGCGATGAGAGACCATTTTGCGCCTGCAAACGTTTGCGATTGGAGTCAATTTGAGGATTGACTCGAGTCTACAGTTTTGCGTTTCGCGCCCACTTACTTTCGCGATTTCACTCCCGTCGCGAAAATCGCGAACGTTTCAGGATCGCAAAGGTTTCTGGGCTTACAGATAAGCAGGTAGTAATTGATATAGACAGTGTGTTGCAAAGCATCTTGGTGAGTGATTTCCCACTTTTTTGCATTTCACATTGAGCTGTGTATGCATTGGCGTACCTGTGCGCGTGTGTGTGTGTGTGTGTGTGTGTGTGTATTTGTGCATGCACGCACGTACCCATACATGTGCATGTGTCTATGTGTATGTGTGTCTGTATCTGTCACAGTTGTCCTGTGTACCGTCAATCCTTGCTAACTACCATTGACACATGGAACGAGGTGGACACCAACGAGGCTCAGCTGGCACCTATCCTGCAAAGCGTGGAAGAATCCAAGTCTCTGGCCGAGAAACTGCCTGCTGATAAAGCTGGTGTTGAGGAGCAGTTCCAAGAAATTGAGGTCAGCAATGTTCATGCTTTGCTGTATTACAGCAGGAACGTTCTTGATCATGTCTGTCGTGTCTTGGTCAGATCTGCTAATCCTTTTGCAAGCCTCGCCTTTCGCACAACACTTGGAATAAATTGCTTGCATCTTGTCAAATGCAGTAAATGCTTGTTTTTTAAAGTTTAACATGCTGTAGTGGGTCAATGTGGCTTGATAAATGTAGTCAGGACACCTATGATAAGGTGTGGGTCATGTGTGTTCTGTGCGTGTTGTGATCCTATCCATGGTCCTGTCTATGATCCTGTCCCCGGCGCAGCTCCTATCCGCCAAGATCAAGGGCGTGGAAGTTCTTTCTGAAAGATTCCTCCCACTGTACCAGATCCTCTGCAAGCATTACCCACCGCTTAGTATTGACCCGCTTCATCCCATCATTGAACGCAACTATGACAGGCATGGGGCGTGCAAGAAGCGCGTTGATACACGGTGAGCTGTTTGTGTGTGCGTGCATACCTGTGCACATCTAGGCATGTGTACAGTTGTATTTACTTGTGTTCTTCTGCATGGTGTAGCTGGTCGATATCATGTTCAAACACTAGAAATCTCTAAATCGAGCGTTGGCAAGACCTTGATTGTGCACACTCATTTCGAAGAAGAAGTAGATGTGTTGAAACATTATTACTTCAGTATTCGCCAGCACCAAATCTTGCTTCTGCAGTGCGGTTCAGCCAGCTATGGCTGTGTTAACTTGAGCATTGGAACACACTTGTCTTCTTAGCGGCTGTAGACTGGATGTTTGATAATCTCTGCTGGTAGGTTGAAGGAGATTGACCTGGCCATGCTGTGGCATGACAAGATCTTGGACCGTTTGAAGAAGACCTTGCTGTGGATTGACGAACGGCAGAAGCTGCTGGACACCTGTGGAAAGCGCGCTACGTTTGACGACGTCGACATGGTGTGGGAGAATAAGCAGCATCCGGATCAAATTGTAAGTGCAGTGCAAGAAGGGTACGAAGTACAGTGTAACAAGGGTTCAGAGTAGCCGTGGCATGTACGCGTGTTAGAAGTTAGAACATTGCAGTGCAGCGTTGTCGATTGGTAAGGCGAAATCTATCTGAAGATTCCGCTGCCATGAGTACACATACGTGTTCCCCAACCTACTCATGTGCTGCCATATGCTGCTCTTTGTAGTTACCAGCTATTGTAACGTTAGCGGTTGCAAGAATTGAAGATACACACGGCATCAGGTTGTTGAAACATCATTCTACCGCCTTCTTCTTCTTCTTTATTCTGTACACAGGAAATGGTGACGCAGCAAGAGCCAACCATCGAGAAAACCATCGCATCCGCCGACCGCTACCTGAAGCTGGGAAGACAATCGCTTCAGGCCGAAGAGGATGATGACAAGGCTGCAGCATTGGCCAGACCTGAAGGGATGGACAAAGAATACCTGAATGATGTGGAGTTCCATGTTGGTGTGGCTGGTAGAGCCTGGCCCAAGCTGAAACATGATGTCAAGACCTGGGACGACGCCATGCACAGAGCACGCCGTCTGCACGGAGACTTCATGGTATGAGTAACTGTGTGTGTGTGTGTATGTGTGCGCGCGCGCGTGTGTGTGCGTGTGTACGTGCGTGTGTACATGCGTGCGGGTGTGCGTGCAGGTGTGTGTGCGGGTGTGTGTGCGGGTAGATGTGTATGCCTGCCAGTTTCATTAATTTTTTACCTTTAGTTTTGGTGTATTTGTGCTTCTGAACTAGCTTTTATTGACCCCATCTAAGGGTACAGTGGTGTTCATGGCCAGTGATGAGTCTATGTGCATGTATGTTCATGTGTATCCCTCTATGTGTGTGTGTGTGTGTGTGTGT